CATTATCAAGATCTATTTCACTTAGTTTCCTAATCAATATTGTAGAAAAATGGAGTATGCAAGTATTAATTATTTGATATTGTTGAGGGTTGTTAACAACATCTCGAAGAAAAGCTAAACATACTGGCCAATTCTGCTTTAGAAAAGTTATTTGGGAAAACTCGACAAAATTTGTAAGAAAGTTAACAATTGAATTCGCTGTTCTATAAACATCAGAATAAACATAAAATCGCAAATTGTTAATACATAGGAATAACCAAACTAGATTTGTACTTGCCAGTAACAAAAAGAGGATTTATTCTAGAATTAATACTATTAATTAAAAAAGGAATTATTTCATGTTTTCTAGAATCATCAAACTTAGATAAAAAAGAGAAAATAGACTCCTCAATCTTCAAAAATTAATTCAATCAATATACCTAAATATATTTTTACCTTTATATCAGTTTTATTTATTGAATTTATTAAGCTTTCTAATGTTTCTATAGGCCTCGTATCATAAAGTACATAAAGTAACTGCCTACTTGCAGTTTTAAGCCTCATATTTATAAATTTATATGTTTCTTTCTTTGCCAAATCAACAGGAACAACATTATCTTCTAGCCAGGACCAAACATAAAAAGTCAACTTTACAATGTCTTGAAAACATAATAATATAGAATTCAGACTCTAAACATCATTAATATATATATATATATATATTTAAAAAACATACATCAATAGAAAAATCAACACTATTAGGGGCCTCAACAGAAAATACACCGGACATAACATTACCAAAAAATCCTACATTTTCAGAACTCCTAGAAACAAAATTCTTCAATTTATAATCATGGTTCTCAAGAGCCCATGAAATTGTAGATTGTAAAGCATCAAAACAATCTAAAATAATTTCATAAGAAGATAAACTCCCCATTTTTGAATCTGAAAAGCCAATTTCTAAGCCAACAATACTAGAGTTAATTCGACCACATAATGTTTCTATAAATGGCATAAATATCCGAAATATATCATTAGTAAATAAGCCCAGACAATTTTTATAAAAATCTATTAAGATTTCAACATTTGAAGGAACATTTGTTGCAGACAATCGAGTAACAAAAAATTTAACCAGCATAAATAAAATGTTGCAAACTGATGACTTTTCTGCATGATCAATAGACTTTTCTTCCATAGACAAGAAACAAGCATTTTTCAAAAAAAGCTCTTTAAAACTAACTTCATATTGATTAATATTCCGCTTTAAAATAATATATAAAACATCCAAAACGTATTTATCTAAAATATATTCAAAAAGAAAATCCTTTATTATAAGCCTTTTTAAAAATACTTCAACAAGCTCGTCATCAAATAAATTGCATTTAGAAACAATATAAAAAAGAAGTTTGCTTGCAAAAAAATGAAGCTTAATAACTATTGATTTTGAATTTTGAAAATTAGATTCCGGTATCATATAAAGAGCTCTACTTTTATAAGTTTATAAAAAGAAAAGAGTTTCAATTGACCTTGTAGCAATTTTTACTAAGATACTAATATAACTCATATCTGGAAATATAGAACAATCTAAATTGCACATTATTATAAAATATCAAAACCAATATTAACTCACATTTAAATAACAATTTACTTCTATCAATATCAATATTTAGAAGTTCTGTTAGAGCATGATCTAAAAAATCGATTGCTCCAGATTCAATAATTTCTACACATACAGATATATAATATGATAACATTAAGACATCATCTATTTCTCTAAATTGCAACAAAGAGATCTCTAATTCCTCAATAACCTGATTTTTAGGGGAACAAATAATTTCCAAGGATAATAACTTTGTAATTATAATGTCCAACAATCTTATACTCATCAATAATTATAAATAAAGAAAAATATAGACCTAATAAAAGAAAAATTTAAAGTTTTAATCCAAGACTTCACTAAAAGTTTTGTATGAATATCGTCAGAATGAAGAAAGCCAATCATTATTAAAGAAGGTCTTCCAAGAACCTGAACAAAAAGAGACTCGTCAACTTTAACAATTTAATCTTATCATAATAAAAATCTAAAAAATTTACCACTATATTTCCATAATACTACAAACTTAAGACAAGAAGTAGATGGACTTTCACGAATATTCATTGCATAGACTATTATTGTTTCAATATAAGAACCATCAAGTGTTCTATGTAATGCCCATAACAATCGTGAAGCATCAATATGATGTTTTGAATTTTCAGGAGAAAAACAATCCCATATCTAAAATTAATAAGCTTTCAAAGATACTTAAATTTTCTAAAGAACATACATAAAAAACTAAAGGAATTAATAAATCATCAGTATTAATATCTTCGACATTAATCCATGTTCTTTGCAATAATGCAATAATAATTTTAACTATAAAATAAATATGATCAAAACTAAGTTCCTTAAGACCAACAACAAATACTATAACATCCAATATCCTTCTTTTTTGAGTTTTTGAACATTGTAAAACCTTTGGAATAAATTCATAGATAAGTAAAAGCGCTTCAAATAAATAAAAATTGTTATCAAGACAACGCTCTATATTATCAATAAGCTGATAAAAAATAGAATTCATAGCAATCTCCTTAGACAATTTTGTAGCATTATGGACGGATGAACAATCCTTATAATATTCTATAATATTATCTCTCAAAGTTACTCGATCTTGAACATCGTGTTCATCCAATAAGACATTAGATATACTATTATTATTTGGAATATAAGATAATAATTTATGTGTAACTAAAAATAAGGTTTTTTCGACTGTTATATTCTCTGACATATCAGGAATATTTGAAATAATAATAAATAAAACCAAAGGAATATGAAAAAGAACCATATCTTCCTCATGAATACTGAAATTTGAAATAATATATAATGCAAATTTATAATCTAACAAATCAGAAACACCCCGTTTATCAACCAAAGATAATATTTTACTCCAAATTAATTTTGAATCTATAGAATTAAAATATGTTCTAGCAGAAGACAAAGTATTATTATATAAATCATCATTACCAAATGAACCATATATATATATAGTTCTTATAGAGGGTAAGAAAACCTCAGAAATAACAATATTTCCTATACTAGGTTTATCCATAAAAGACAAGAGAATTTTAAACATTTCTCCAAGTTTTACAGGGTCATTCTCATACTGAACGAAATATTTTTTTATACTGTTTATAATATGATCCATAGCATAATTCCTAAAATAAGATCTTTCATCTACATCTTGATCCAAGTCAGAACCCATAAACCATGACCAAACACGTCGATTAAGAGATAATTCTTTTCCTAAAACAACCCTGATTACAGATATTATTAAAAGCTCAATATCAGAAGAAAGAATATTTCTAATATATTATTAAGAGAAAAAAATATAGAACTAAATACTTTTGTAAAATATCTGATGATAGAGGAACATTTTGAACTAAAAGCTCAAGAAAACCACGGCAAATTAATAATTGTTTATCATTAAGTCCCACACTAAACGCTCTTATAAAGAGGCCAGAATCAGGATGTATTATTGGAAAAATATCTAATAAAAATAAATTCAATTATAATCTAATAACAAACATAAATTTACCATTAGAGCTTTCTTTAAAAACAGGAAGACGTTTAGATAAATATATTAAAGCTCCTTGCCTTTGTTGAGGAGATGTAATTACACAAAGCCAAAAACAATGCCAAAAAAACGATTCGTCATCAAGCTTTTGTCGTATAGAATCCAACACATTAAAAGTTTCGTTAAAATATTCTCCAGACTCTTCTTCTAAACCAGGAAGCAATGAAATAATCAAAAATTTTGTACAAGGGCGAAGATCAGGGCCCAATGGTAAATAAAATGTTTCAATCAATTCAAGAAAATGCGGCTGCTTTTTTTAAAAAAGAAACACCATCCATAAAAAAGTATACCTTAATTTTTGTAGACGCAAACGCCATAACATGTGCAAGACCACTACTCCAAAGAGAAAGGGAGCTAGAAAGCCCTTTTTTCTTACATATTTAGCCTTGTATATTAAAAAAACACTTAACATACTCCAATCAGCGAAAAAATATAAGAATATACTTCCAACGTTTTCTGATGTACGCCAGAAGGAAGAGACGGATTCAAACATTGTGATAACCTGCATGCAACAAGATCTTGGTAAGGAACAACTGCAAATGTAGGATATGCCTGAAGAGTCTAAATAAACCTTAATTGATATAGTTCTTAATATATTTAAAGCTTCAAATACTTTTAAAAGTTTTGAGAGAAATGATATATAATCTGCCCATTCCTCAAGACTATCAAACGATTGAAGGATTTTATCCAATCCTCCTGAATATTTCTTAAATTTCTGAGAATTTTCCAAATCTTTTTTTTGAAGACTTAATATCATGAAATCCTTATATAAAACAACTCTATACCTTTTACATGAAGGGGAACCTGAATCATTTTAGACGGAGATAAAGATATTCTTTTTGCTGAGTAACCTGTTTAATCGCCTTTTTTTCCATAAATTTATATTTTGAATCCTAAAAAAAAGAATACTGCAATTCAAAATATACTTATTTCTATTAAAACAATTTAATCAATAAATTTCCTCAATTATTATATACTTTTAAGAGTATCTATTTTACTCTTAAAAATATTTGAGATATCAAAAATCTAAGTCGGACCTACTCTTTAAAAATATGAAAACCCATTTATAAGTTAAAAATCTACAGAAACATATAGATATCTTAAGAAAAAAGAAAATATAAGGCCATTATAGATATAATTATATAAAAACTATACATTTTTTTAAAACACAATAAATTACTTTATCTAAAAAGAATATTTTAAAGATTTAAGGATTATTAAAAAAGAATAAAAATACAGGAAAATCTACATAAATCTACATATTTAAAGGGGTTAATGTTTATGTTGATAATCTAGTGACTATTATAAAGATATTTATAATTGGAGAGTATAAATTGAAGGTTTAAATAGATGCACAATTTTAATGAGGCATCAAAATCTCAAAAAGATAAGATAAATGTGGATCCTACAGAAGACATATCATTTCTTAAAAATTATGATCTTAATGATCTAAAAGTATGCAATGAAGATTTTAAAAATAAAAGTAAATTGGCTTTTATATAAAAAAAACATTAAAAGGATATTAGCCAGTAATATGGAAATACAGAAACCTAAAAAACACTTTTTTATACTTTCAAGAGCAGGAAAACTTATATACTCTAAATACGGAGATGAGATAATAATATCAGAATATATGGGAATTATACAAACAATTATAAATCTTTTTTATAAAAAAGAAGATAATCTTAAGTATTTCATTGTTCGAAGCTATGTAGAAGTTAATTGTTTTCCTATAGAAGCTTTAGATCAAATAATTTAACAGTGGTTGTTTTATCAGAAGGTCCATTATACCTAGTAGGTATTTCAAAGCTCCAAGAATCAGAAATTCAGGTTATTTAAAAAGAAAAAGAAGAAATTATAACATTTTAAAGATTAAAGCGCAACTAAATATACTATATACTCAAATAGCAATAGTACTTACACTAAACAAATTATTAAATATTTTTAATCATAAAGAAAATTTTGACCTAAGAAGACTTTTAGGAAGTATGAAACAATATTTTTAATCGAAGACTTATTGTTATAGACACAGAAATATTTCTCGATGCACTTTCAGATATGATTGTTGAAGGAGAACCTTCTGTTCTGCTTAACGGATTGCAATGCTTACGGTTAAAAAAGACTGTTAGAGAAAAAATAGATTCTATCCTAATTAAGACAAGAGCAAAAGTATAAATTGGTTATTTTTTTAACAATAACTTATAAAAAGTATAGAAATTATTATGTGGAATAATTGCATCAAATCTATGTATAGTTAGTATCATAAAACCACAAAACCGTTCTTTTCATTCATCTGGAAAGTAGCTTAAATTTATATTATAATTTATTAATAAAAATAGAATTATTTTTATTGTTTTCTATGATTTTTAATACTACTTCATTTAAAGATGAAACAGAGCATTGGATACCATTATGTTTTCCTAAATTCGATCCTAAAGGATTTACATATTGTTATATAACTTTCATATGTGATTCGACTGCACTTATATTAATTTCAACAGATAAGGATGCTTTTTTTGAAATGAGGGAAATGAAACAAAATATTATTAATGTATTTAGTTATATTTTAAGAACATATATCTAAAATTTATAGGATTTTAAAATTCATGGTATTTTGGATATAATAAAATTTGCAGCAGAAACATCATATACAACACGTAAGGATTAATTATATTATTTTAAATTGCTAACATATATAGTTGATACTAATACTCCTTGTATCTATCATTTTATCTACAAATCAAAAATGGATACTCAATTTACTATGCCACAATGGAAAACATCTGAAAAAAATCTTCAAAAAAAAAAGTAATTTATTATTTATTATAAGAATGGCTCATTTATGAATTTAGAATAATGAAAATTTACTATAAACTCCATTCATTAATTTACAAAAAACCATTTACTAAATTTCAACTTATTTCTGCTCAAAATTATACAGCAGTTGCATGGGTAATATTTTATATATTTTTAAAATCTTTTAATATTGTTTAAAGATAACACCATCTTTTGATTTTTTCGCAGTAGCTAATCCAGAAATAACAAAACAATATTTAATTAAAAATATAAATTTAGTATTAAAATGGATAAAAAAAGAAGAGTATAGATTATTTATTAAAAACGAGGCCACATTCTAATTTTATATACACATTATTTTAAATTAAATTAAATTATTTATTTATACACATTCAAAAGTTAATATCAAATTCCATTTTTTTGAAAATTGCGAACAAGTTTTAATTCATTTTGAATATCTGTTAATCTTTCTATATCTTTTGCTTGAACACACTTAGAAGCATTTTGAACATATTTTTCAGATTTTAGTCTTCTAGAAATAATATCTTCTTGTTTTTGAAGCCATTTAATCCTGTTGATCTGTTTAAAACTATCCAAATATAATTTTTCAACACGCAAATGAAGAACCAATTCAGAATTAACAAATTTAGAATATATATTTAATGAACCATTATTCAAATTCTAAGAATATTATTTCAATATAAAATAATACAAAATACTTACATTTAAACTCAAACTTTTCATGCCAATCATATTTCGAATAATATTTTTAAATTTTATAACATCTTCCTTAAATATCTTATTTCTATCATTAATTTCAATAATACCTTCATGTTCATAGCTTGAACAACTAACATTTGATATCATAGATCTAAATTCATGTACTAACATCATAATATTTTCTATTCTTTTTATAGAATCATAATCCAAATAAAAAGATTCATCTTTATGAGGATAATCTGATATCATTATGCTAATTTTTGAATATGGATCAAATACTAATAATTTTTGATACAATTCCTACAAATAAATATTAAACATAATAAAAAAATTCAATTAACCTCAGTAATAAAAGGTGCTATAGGATGTAACAGTTTCACTACAGTATATAATGCGGAATAAAGAGTACTTAAAGCACATTCTGCTCGCTTTTTTATATCAATAAAGAGAAAAAAAATAAAATTTGTTACCTTATTATCATTCAGTTTTAATTCTTGTTTAATAAATTCTAAATAAACACTACATAAATCATAAACAATATATCTCCTCAAAGATTTTGTAACATCAAACAACTTTCTCAATTCAAATCCCATATTACATGCATCAATGGTTTCTTTAAGCCTAGATATTAAATATTTATCAAAAATATGCTCTGATTTAAAATTTCTATCTATGATTTTTAAATTATAGTATTTTATTTGACATAAAAAGAACTTAGTAGCATTCCAAAGCTTTGAAAAAACATATTTTGCTGAAGATACATTAGAAATATCTATGTTAATTTGATGATTCTATAAAATTTTAGAATTATAAACATTCAAAAGCTATATTTACTTGTTTCGTATAGTCTATCAATGAAAATCGGAGAGAATCAGTTCCCATTGCTTTAATACCATTAGAAAATTGTTGTTTAGTTGCTTTTAAATGGTATTTCATATCTTGTTCTAAAGCATTTCCATTAAAAGTATTATCATCTGAGGTTTCCAAAGAAACACCCTTTATAATTTGTAAGGGATCTATGATATTCCCCAATGATTTAGACATCTTTCTTCCTTGAGAATCCCTAATCTATCAAAATGTAAATTCATAATATATATGTATATATATATATACTAATGGATGAAGAATAATTTCATTAAAAGGAAATTTATCTGTAAAATGAGTACAAAGTAATACCATTCTCAAAATCCAAAAAAAAAGAAGATCAGAGCCACTTTCAATAAAAGTTAATGGATATTCTAAATATTCAGAAATAAACATTAGTATTTATATATAACTCACCAATAGGAATATTCTTATTGTCCCAAAAAAATACAGACAAAGGAAGTAATGCAGATGAAAACCATGTATCTAAAACATCACTATCCTATTGTATATTAACAAAAAAACAATATGACACAATTTTTACTTGTTTAACATTTTTTCTACCTGAAATTTTCAACGCAGCTTGTTCAGACTCTGCTGCAATCCAATATCCATTTTCACAATCTACATACCATGCTGGTATTCGATGACCCCACCATAATTGTCTTGATATACACCAATCTTCAATATTTTCCAACCATTTCATCCATTCATTACTATAATACTGTGGAAGAACAGAAAATCTTGAAACTATATTATCATACGCCTTTGATGCTAAAGGTCTAGTTTTAAGATACCTTCAATCAATTTAATAAAAAGAAAAATATACAAAAACAAACCATTGTGATTTCAAAAAATATTCAATAATATCTCCAGAACGAGAACAAAAAGATATAGATGTCTGATAATTCTGAAATCCACGATATAATCCCTTATCTTTCAATTTTGACAATATATACTTTCTACACTTAAGGCGATCAATATGCTATAATTAAGTTAAAATTAATTTCAATAAAAAATCCAAAAACCTGTAATTCTGGAAGTAAACATGATGCATTCATTCTTCCATCAAAGTCAAAAACATTTACAGCTGGTATTTTGTGGCGAATAGAAAATAAATAGTCATCAGGATCATGCGCAGGTGTTATTTTAACAGCCCCTGTTCCAAAATTAGGATCAACCATTTCATCAGGTATAATAGGAATCTTTATATCAGGATCAAGAGGATGATAGCAATATTTTCCATGTAGATTCTTTCTATGTTAAAACATGATAAATAAATAAATAATATCAACCAGAAATCTTATATCATTCGGATTAACTGAAATAGCCCTATCACCAGGAATTGTTTCTACCCTTGAAGTTGAAACAACAACTTCAGTAATACCGCATGGATCAACTAATGGATATGCAACTTTATGTAACACCCCAAATTCAATACTATATTCGCTTTAATACAAATTTATAAAAAATAAACCTTACGGCTCTCCTCCAATGGTTATTTTAGTAGGCTTAGTGATCACTTTATGATCAACCTCAATATCTGAAATAGCAGTTTCCAATGAACATGACCAATTAACCATTTTCATATCTCTGTAAATTAAACCCTCATTAAATAATTGAATAAAGCAATTTGTAACAACTTTAGACAAAGATGGATCCAATGTAAAAAATTCTTTAGACCAATCAAGAGATGCTCCCATAAAAGCCTTAAACATTTTAAGCATTCTAACAAACGAAAAAAATATATATACAATTTGATTATAAATATGAGCTACATTAAGACGTTTCCATTTCCAAATTATATCTTCAAACATACTTCTTGTCATCTCTTTTCTCTTCAACTATTTCATATTAGATATTTCAAATTAACCTTTAAATTTACATTTTGTGTTTTCATAAGAAATTGTTCCATAATACTCTGAGTAGCAATTCCTGCATGATCTGTCCCAGGAATCCACATAACTGACTTCCCTCTCATTCTTTCCCACCGGATCAGCGCATCCTATACATTTAAATATAATAACATAAGAATTATTTAAGTTACTTGAATACTAATAGTTAAAGCATGACCAAGATGTAAAATACCAGTAATATTTGGAGGAGGAAGAATAGTGACAACACGATTATGTGATGAACACTCATTAAACGGGCGTTTTGGTGAAAAAAACCCATTTTCTTGCCACCATTTATACCAATCTTGTTCTACCACAGTCTATTAATGTTAGTCAACCTTTTAACAAAAATAAATAATAACAGGATCATAAGGGCCATCAAAGGAATGAGAAGGAATATGAGAATAATTCTTAATAAAGAAGATTTGACGAATTTTGCAGCGTCTTAAAAACACCATAAAATAGTATCGTCTAAGATATGAAAGATAAATAAAATATTAAAAAATAATAAATATACATGTTATATAAGTTCAATAACGCATAAAAATCCCATTTCTTTTTTCATGATTTCTTATTTCAAACATTATTTGAGAAGCAGCAAAAAGCGTGAAAAAAAGAGTTATAAGAAAAAAGAAATCTATAAAAATTTAATATTAGAAATAGAAATTTAGAAATTGTAAACTTTTATAATCGATAAAGATACGAATAAATAAATCCTTTGTACCTTGAATACCAAGACAAAAACCCACAAGATTAGCAATCATCATCATAATAATATTAAATGTAGCACCTAGTGCACATAAATGTCGATAATATGGCCAATCTTCCCACTATAGATATAATTAATAGAAAGAAAAGAAAAAAGAAGTAAAAGTACTTTTTTTGATTGGAAAATACGGCAAGCTATGATCTCTGGAAGAATAAATAAAGTAATTAACCAACCCCATACAAATAATCTTAAAGTAATGTCATGCCATAATGCAACAAAAGTGAATATAACAAAAATATTTGGTACTAAAAACTTAGAACCACCAAGAGGAAGATATATATATCTACAAATGAGTATTTTTTTTTTAAAAAAAATATTACCTTATTATCCAACGATTAAAGCTTCTATGCCAAGCCCTCCAAAAGCCTAAAAATGAATAATTATTATTTATGCATCTAACTATATTTTCAGGTGGATCAATTTTATCACAAAGAGTCCAAAGACGAAAAAATCTCCAAATAAATAATAACTAAAAAATGTTTACAAATGAAAAAAAAGTGAGGTAAAAACTTTAAGCCAAACAATCTGCAAATTAAGATATCCAATCATACTAATTTGAGATGGAGAGTAATCTTTCCATGACTTTATTTTAGATATAGCAACAACATAAAAAAAGTGAAGAATCAATTCCAATAAAAAAAAACAAAATAGTAGCCTTAATAAATACTTTATTATAGATGAAATAGTAATATCTTTTGATGGATATCGTAACTATATTAACATAAGTTTCTCTATTTTAAGTAATAATAAAACCTGAGAAATGAAGTTATTAAAAGATATAATTGGCCCTGAAAAATACAAAGGAGAATAAAACGCATATGAAAAAAAATTCAATAAACAATAGTCTTCACGAAAACACGGGATATTAATGCGATTTTTTTCGGTTAATTGAAAGTCAGATAACTTTTAATTTGATAAGCAATCAAAAAAATATCATTAAAAAATATACATTACCTCAGAAGCATCATCATTTTGTGACCAATAATAATCTAAATTATAAGATATAAATCTCAAAATAGTAGTATTAAAATATATTTGCCATCGAGGTACAAACCCATTATAGCGATCCTATATCTTATTAAAACATGCAATTTCATTAATCCTTTCTACTAAGAAAGATAATTTATGATAAAAAGAACCAAATAAATATCCTTTGTATATATCATTAAGAAATAGAATTCCAACATTAAAAAACCAAGTTAGTATAGGATTCAATTTACTCTTTGAAAAAATACGAGAAATACTGTAATTTATATATGCTATGATATAAATTTTAATAATACCAGTACCATGTAGAATAATGAGAAAAATAAATGAAAATATATTATTGTATAAAATACGCCTTTGAACATCATTTAAAATCTTAAAATGTTTAATAACATAATTAGAAAGAGAACCTAAGGATAAATGAATAGCTGAAGTAACAATCAGAACAGGAACATTTCTTCGAAACACTGCATATTGTATATCCGTATTATCCTAATCCCATTAACAACATAACTATATCATTTACTTAAAAAACCATTTTACGCTTTCCAATCCAACCAGGGCGTAAATTCTTAGAGAATTGAGCATAATTATGATGTGACGCTTATTTTTCATTAGAATAATCTAGGCATATCTAAAGACACTTACAATTTGAAATATCATATGTAGTTTTTAATGAAAAAATTGCAACAAAAAAGATAACCCAATAATAAATAAAAAATTCATAAGACATCCATTTAGATTCTAATTCCTTAGATTTCTTTGTATATAAAATTTCTTTATCATCCATATGAAAATTAGAGTCATCCTCAGATTGATGCATCTTTTCAGATGTTCTTAAAGAAAACAATGATAACATGTATCTAAACATTTATATAAATTTAATTAATCAATATTAGAAACCAAAAAATCAACTTTCGATAGGGTTTAAATCTTAAAAATTATATATAAAATATATAACCTCTACCTTCATAAACATTATTATACCATTAGCTTCAATGCTTAGTCAATTTCTAGAATTATTTGATTTTCTTTATGATTAAATTATAAAATATAGTTTTCATGTATTGGCTATCTAAAATAAGTCATAACATCTTTATGTTTCCACAAAAAGATGAATTATCATGGGAAACATATTTTATTATGAAAATTCAATACCTCTAATTAAAATAAGAGAAAATACAAAATAGAATATCATAAAAACCTCAAATTTTCCTCTTTTTCTTTAATATATTTATCTAGAATATCGATAAAATAATGACCCCAGTTTTCAAATCTAGCATGAAATGTTTTATCATCACTTTGCAAAGTAATTGACTCTAAATCTTTATAGAAAAAAATGTTAAGAAATAATTTAAACATAAAATATCTCTTACTTTTTGAAAGTTTAGTAGCAATATTTAACAATTCCCTATCGGAAAGAATAGACGCAGGAGAAATTCCTTGCTCATTTGCTGTCTAAAATATTTTAGAGATCTCAAAAAAAAAAAAATAATACATTATCACGTAATTGACACATCTCTTGATAACATCTTTTAAGAACATCCGATTCATATGGATTTAGGACTAAAGACATTTTATTTAACAAATGCGTAGATGATGTATTTATCTTTGCTTTAAAATTCTCGAATCTATTTTTTTGTGCGTTACAAATAGGAATAATTTTAGAAGATTTCTTATCAGTCTAAGATTAATTATTATTAAATTAAACAATTTAATCATTTTACTTTCTTTCTATTCATTTTTAGTTGTCGAACAGAAGACATATTTGATATTAATTTAATTGTTTCTTGTTTTTGAGGGAAAGTTTTATTAGATGAATCTGAATCAACACTAGGCTTAAACGACATAATAAGAGCTTCATTTCCATTCAAAAAAGACATTCCATTTCTTCCGATCTAAAACATAATTAAAAATAAAAATAAAAATAAATTATCCTACCTTAACATATGTAACAACAAACCCCATTTCAGTAACATCACTTACTTCCTTTATAATATCATAAGAAATAAGAACGTGAAAAAGTCTTTCAGCATCTAATCTTGACAAAGAAGATCCAGATCCAAATGAAGGTAATGCTTCATAACCAAGATTAATAACTTTATTACTCTTTATTCCTCGAAATATGTTTATACATTGCAATGCAGTAAACTTATTTTCTTGGACAGCAAGAACAATTTTTACAATTTCTTTTCCCATATGAAACATATCTTTTTTTACAACAAAAGAACCTTCTCTACAGTTATCACATGTCTGATTGCACTCTTTTTCTGAAAATTTTTCGTTAAAATAAGCCAACAATTGCTTTCGTCTACAATCAATTTTATTTTCACAAAACTGCAGTACAAGGTGCAAAGATGCTTTCTGGCGATTTTTCTGACTCCAACTAGCATATCCTTTATCAATCATCCTTTCTAGCTTTGCTTTATCTTTATAACTATAAAATAACCAGCATTGAGCAATATTTCCGTCCCTTCCAGCTCTTCCTGTTTCTTGATAATAGCCTTCTAAAGATTTTGGAAGAAATAAATGAATTACAAAACGAACATCTGACTTATCAATCCCCATGCCAAAAGCTATAGTAGCAACTATAATATGGTATTTTCCAGCTTTCCAGTCCCTTTGTATTTGCGATCTCTCTTTATTAGTCATTCCTGCATGATAATGATGAATTTTCATTTGATATTTCTCACGAAGTTTTCGTGCAGTATCTTCACAATTCTTTCTAGAGAAACAATAAATTATCCCTGATTTTCCTGCATAATTGGACATTATTATATCACGAACTTGAGAATATACTGATGTATCTCGAAATGCTACATTATAATATATATTTGGTCTGTTAAAGCTCTGAGATAAAACAACACAATTATTGATATTTAAATTATGAATCACATCCTTCTTTACTATTTCGTTTGCAGTGGCAGTTAAAGCAATAAATGGGACAGTATAATACTTTTGTTTAATTTGTCCAAGTTGTTTATAATCAGGACGAAAATCATGTCCCCATTGACTAATACAATGCGCCTCATCTACAACTACTCTTGCAAAGTTATTTCTTGAATAAATATGATCCAGAACCTTGCCAAAGGAATTATTTCTTATTAAAAATTCAGGAGTGACATAAAGTAACTTTAAAAACATATTGTCAGAATAAAGAATTTTCATAACCTCTTTCCTTTTAGAAGCAGGAGTTTCACCATTTATTAATGCAGAATTAATATTTATACTTAAAAGATGCTCCACTTGATCCTGCATAAGGGATATAAGAGGAGAAATAACTAAGGTTAGACCTTTAGTCTTCCCTGAATCAATCAATGAAGGAAGCTGATAACAAAGAGATTTCCCTCCTCCAGTAGGCATAAGAAGAAATAGATCCTTTCCACTTAATGTTGTATTAATTGCTTCCAATTGATTACTTCGAAATTCCTTTAACCGAAAAACATTTTTTAAGACCATAAAAACATCTTTTGACCATGGATAACTTATATTAGTACCAAGAACCAAAGGCATATTTTCAGAAAGCACCGATTTTTTATGAGTTGATGCCTGATTTAATGACACTTTATTTTGAACGGGGTAAGATTCTTTAGTAAATACAGTATCATGCTGTCTGGAGGCTACAAAACCCTCAGATGAAAAATTAGATACGGAATTAGACGTCTTTTGAAAAAGTTCTTGGTTATTTGAGTCGAATACACTATTAGTTTCTGTATTTTTATCAAAATTATTTTCATGAAAAATATCAGATTGAGAATTATGGAATTCATTAAAATCGTCTGCATATGTATCATAAATAATATCTGAAGATAAAGAATCATGAAAACTATCGACTGTTATTGGAGACTTTACAAGATTTTGTTTATTTTCTAAAGAATCAGTAAAAAGACATGCAGACTCATCAAAGTTATCACTGTTTTGAGAAAACAAATCACATTCCTGAAATTTACATACAGAAGCTTCTAAATTTCCATTTACAGATTTTTTGGATAAATTGACAGATTTTTCATCTTTTAAAGAAGGAGAATATGATAAATGATCATCAAGCTTCTCTAACCTTTTCTGCATCTTATGATTAACCTAAAATTATTAAAAATACCAACATATAATTTTGTATAAATGCACACTACATTAAAAACTTTCCGTGTTTTTTTTTGTTCTATTGTATTTTCCAATTCTAATATTCTACGTTTTATTTCTTTTCTAAGGGATTTAAAAACATCCAGATAAATGATAAATTCAAACCTCTCTTTTAATAATGCACTTTTATTTTTCAATGACGTAGGAGAATCAGAAGGAATTTTAAGAAGTCGTTCCAAAACATCCTTCTCATTTTTATGAGCAAGGTTCAGTTTTTCATGGATATCCAAAAGAAATAGCTAAATAAAGAATTAAACTTTCAAAAAAAACATATATTAACCAAACCAAATCATTGTAAGTTAATGATACTAAAGATTCACCCTTAGATATATCTATTTGCGTCAATTCAGAGTCATCTATAAGACTATCGCTAGAAAATTCACTATCTAATACAACATAGGAATATTCTTTCAAAAGTTTATCAGATTCAATATCCATCTTTTGGGAATCAGCTGTTAACATTTCCGGATCATTGTAACTATCATGTTTACAATCACCATCAATAACTTCAGAGCGCATTTTTTCCTTTTCCAATTCATTACTATATCATCAATTTTTTTATTATGCTTACAAAATTATTAGAACTTTTACATCTTTTTCGATCATGCACATGAATGAAATCAACCTTCCGTTTTGAATTATCATCTGATTTTCTATCTTCATCACCAAAGCACGTAAGATCAATTAATAGATTTGATTGGAAATCCTCCGAGCTTTTTTGATTTATATTTGATATAAACGAGTTTTCATCCGAATTTTCAAAATCAGAAAACAATTCCGGAGAATATTTCACATCAAAAGAAGGAGCCGTCTCAGATCCTTGGCCCTTTTTCACCGGAAATGACTGATCCAACAATCCTGGCCCTGGAATAACACGTTGAGATCCATATAAAGTTTGGGTCTCTATATTTTGATAGTTCTGAAAAAATCTTTATGTTATATTAGAATATGAATCCGATGCATCATAGTTTACTTATTCTTATCTTCTATCTCCTTCCTAATACATTGATTTGGAATATGCGGTTTTTCCTCATAAAACCACTTCAAATAAATATCTATATTATTCTTGACTTTCTGGAAACCCATCTATAAAGACATAATATAAAGGCATCCTAAAAAGGTATTGACACTTATAAAACAGGATATATAAAGTCTATACCTAAATATAAGAAGAAGTTTTAACGGTTGATAATATTTCATCAATAACCCTTCAATTTCGCCTCTAAAAAAAAGAAAGAAAAGATAAATTCCCTTAAAAAGAAAACTAAAACAATGTTTAATAATTCTTAACGTTATTTAATAAAATAGAAGGAATTTTTAGATAAAAAACACTATTTTAAAATAAACTAGGTTAATTGAGTCTTGAAGATTAATTACTATAGCAACGCTTAAGATCACGTAATATTCTGTTAAGAAATTATAAGGAGAGATAAGATGACTAAAAACAAAAGAATTCACCATAAATTCAATGAAAAAGAAGGATCTAATGTATTAGAAGAAGAAGGCAGCAATTTTTCCCCAAAAAAAACTATGAAAAATGACAAAAAACGGCGAATATATAATACAACTAATCATGAAAAGAGAATTAAATATATTGATGGGAAAAAAGAAGAAAATGTAATAAATAATGAAGAGACAGAGGATGAAAATATAAAGGAAACATCAGAGATCAAAGGGATGAATATATTAGAGATTGAACAGAGTAAAAATACTAACGGAATAAAAAATGTAATTAAAGAAAAAAAATCAAAAAAAGAACTATGTCAAAAGAAAAAGGAGCTTCTTAAAGATAGAATGAAGCTTCCTATATGGAATGGTATGAATTTTATATTTCAATTAGATTATTTTAATTATATATAGCTCGATTAAGACTAATAAAAGAAATGGAAGATTCAAGAGTAATAATTTTGTTAGGAGAACCAGGATCAGGGAAATCTACACGTAAGAATTTATATTTAAAGATTTTATTTTTTTAAATGTTTAAGAATTGCCTCAATTTCTTTTGAAATGCAATTATACAAAAAACAATCGTATAGCAGTTACACAACCAAGAAGAATCGCAGCTATTAATTTAGCAAAAAGAGTTTCAGAAGAAGTAGGAACAAATTTAGGAGAAAGAGTAGGGTATTCTATTAGATTTGATGATTGTTCTTCTTCAGATACGCAAATTAAATATATGACAGATGGAATGTTGCTACGAGAATTGATCGGTGATCCACTATTATCGATTTATTCGACAATTATTCTCGACGAAGCACATGAAAGAACACTTGTAACAGATATGCTTTTAGGGTTCTTGAAAAAAATAGTAAAATTGCGTCCAATGCTTCGTGTAGTTATCATGAGTGCAACATTAGAGGCAGAACGATTTTCCACTTTTTTTGATAATGCAAAAATTTACCTTATAAAAGGAAGGGAGCATCCTGTTAATATTTATCATACACTACAACCCGAGAATGATTACGTTGATGCAGTTTTAAGGACAGTATTTCAAATTCATATGAATGAACCAGAAGGAGATATTCTAGCATTTCTTACAGGTAAATAACCTTTAAATATATGAAATTGTTTCTCATTTATTCTTTAGGCCAAGATGAAATTGAATCGTTAGAAATATCCATTTGTCACTATGCAAAACAATTAGAAGAGAATGTTCCAAAAGTATGCACATTTTTTTAAGAAATAATATTAACCTATTCTTCAAAAGATGCTCATATGTACGCTATTTTCTGCCTTACCTCAAAATATACAACAAAAGGCTTTTATTAAAACTCCATCTAATACTAGGAAAGTTATATTAGCTACAAATATAGCAGAAACCTCAGTTACAGTAAAAGGAGTTAAGTATGTAATAGATACGGGTCTAGAAAAGGCAAAAAGATATAATAGTCGACTTGGTTGGTATTAAATATACTTAAAAAAAATAATTAAGATACTAGGCATTGAGGTTTTGCATATTGAGTCAATTAGCAAATCATCAGCACGACAAAGAGCAGGAAGAGCAGGAAGAGAGGTAAGAATATTATTTTACTAATGAAGAATAATATTTATATTTTTCGAGGGACCTGGAAGATGTTATAGATTATATACAGAATCAGAATTTAAAAAATTAAAAAATGCATCCACTCCAGAAATAAAAAGAGTAAATTTGTCATTCGCAGTATTAACTCTAAAGGCTAGGGGTCAAAATGATGTTATAAATTTTGATTATATAGATCCACCACCTCACAATTCATGTTTGTATACATTTTAAATATCTAACACAAATTTATTATTATAGTATTACATTCTCTTGAGCAATTATATTCACTTTCTGCTCTTGATGAGAAAGGGGAAATTACAAAACTTGGTTATGATATGTCATTAATCCCATTAAACCCTCAACTTGCACGAGTTTTAATTGCAGCAGCAAATGATTATGATTGTTTGTCATGCATCATTGATATTATTGCATGTCTTTCAACGGAAAATCTTTTTATGTCATTTCAAAACAAGAAAAATGAAGCTAATAATGCAAAAATGAAGTTTTTTAATAGAAATGGAGATCATATAACATATCTTAATGTATTAAGACAATTTATAGAAATAAGGGAGAATGAATCTATGGCAAAAACATGGTGTTATCAAAATTTTATAAATTTTAGAGCGATAACAACTATCATGGTAATAATGCCTTTAAAAATGCAATTTTTCATTTACATATATTTAGGAAATTAGAAAACAATTAATGAAACATTGCAAAAATGCGAGTATGAAAATAGAATTTTCAAATAAAATAGACACAGAACTTATTCTTCGATGTTTTCTTACTGGATTTTTTATGAATACAGCATTATTACAAGCAGATGGAAACTATCGCACAGTTATAGGAAATATGGTATACATGTTGCAATATTATATATTATTTTTATAATATATTTCAGATTGTTTATATTCATCCTTCATCAGTTCTATTTAATAAAAAAGTCGAGGCTATTCTTTATAATAATTTGGTATAATAACATCCTTTATAATAAAGATCTAACCATAAACAAGATTTTCACCACTAAACCATACGTTCATATTGTATCTATGATTAAAAGTGATTGGCTACGTTCAACTTCTCAAATTAGCAAAAGTAATGGATCTTAAATATCTATATTTTTTTACAATTTCAAATGCCAAAAACTTCACATAAAATATACATCATTTTTTTAAAACACTAATTATATGTCTTCATACATCTAGTTTCTAAATGTGCAATTTCGCATGACTTGGAACAATACCTTTCGCCACATTTATTACATCCATAGTTTCCCCAGTATCCACATATAATACATAATCGGACAGGTGGTCTATTTGACGGTTCAACCGCTGCTAAATGATAACCCGTATTTGTACCCTTCTATTGTCAAATCACACACATATATTTAAACCATACTGCTTCGTCCAAATGCATTGCAAACGTCTTTCTTGATGTCAAAATCCTTCGAACATTTGCATTACTCTTCTTTGTACGAACTTCTACCCCATTTTCAAATATACCCTACAATATACACCATTCTACCCTCATTCTTTGTAACTTCAACTTTTACATCATTATAATTATCCCGTTCTAATTCTAAAAGATGTCTATTAATATGTTTTATTTGAACACTCGGATCTATTATAACAACTTTATATCATATATTTAGAATATTTTAAAAAAATTATTAAAAATTTACTTTTACTTTTATCTGTAGACCTTTTTTTACGGTTTAAAATAGAGTTATCAACGGGAGAAACAAAGGGCATTAAGAAATATCTTATCTATTTCATATCCATCTATTAAAACTTGAATATTTTTTTCCTTAATCTCGATAACTTGATCTTATAAAAAATAAAATGTCTAAAACAAATAGATTAACATTGGAATTATGAATAATATAGCAGAAAATCAATTAAGAAATGTATATTTTTAATTCAAAAATATAGTTATTTTTTTAAAATTTAAAAACTTGATTTAAAAATTATATATATTTGTTTAAATATGAACCTAGTTTTTAAAAAATATAATAAAACCTTGAAATAAGGTTTTAACACATTATTTTAAGACAAAAATGAAAATATTTTTAATTTTGAATGCATCAAACTCTTTTATTAAAATGATATATATTTAATAATAAATAATACTCCAAACATTCTAAATATTATACAAAAATTCTTTAACTACTTTAAATTAAAAATAAAACAAGTATAATATATTTTCTTTTTATTCTCTATAAACAATTGTTATTTACAACACAATTAGCACTGTATTATTACACACTAAGCTGCATATTAAATAAAATATAATTTTATTTAATAAATATGACCAATTCTATAAACTTCTAAAATTTATTTAAATATTAAAACAAATTACTAATTTATTATAAAAAATCATAATATACTATAAAATTATCCTATCTGTTCACTTTTTCAAATCAAAAAAAAAAAAACTATAAATTATACACAATCATTTCCCTCTTTCTATTTAATATAATTTGTCTTATAATTTCCTTTAAAAATATATTTTCAATCAGAATCTCCATTTCATATACTCTCATTTAGTAATATTTATAGTTTTATTAGTATCGCAAGATTTTTTGCAGAGCGTCCAATTTCTTAACTCTTGTCAAGACATAAAATGATCGGATCTAAGACTTATATTCCTAAGAGAGGCTTTAATTTTGATAATTATCAAAGGAATCAATATCTTTTATCAAAAGATATTGCTTTTCCGCCAACTATTTCTACAGGAACAACAATTGTTGGTGTTATATATGAAGATGGAGGTATATTTTATTATATAAAGGGGTTATAGTTATTCTAATGGTACTGAAAGTATGTATTGCGGCAGATACTCGAGCAACAATGGGTCCTATTGTGAGTTTTTTAAGTCAATTATGGATTTCATTTAGTAATATGAATTTTTAGGTAGCAGATAAAAATTGCAGGGTTTTATATATATATATATTATTTAGCTATATCTTATATATTATATCTTAGAAATTGCATAAAATTTCATCAAAAATATGGGTAGCAGGAGCAGGAGTAGCGGGAGACATTGATTTTGTTACGTCTTATATTTCTTCACAAATTGAACTGCATGCTCTATATACGAAACGACAACCACGTGTTGTTACAGCATTGACTATGATGAAGCAATATTTATTTAAATATCAAGGATATGTAGGTGCCTATTTGATTGTTGCAGGAACCGATCCTACGGGATTTCATTTATTCACGGTTTCTGCTCATGGTAAATATTTATGACAAAATTTAAATAAATATTCATCTTAAAAGGGAGTACGGATAAGCTTCCGTTTGTTACAATGGGAAGTGGTAGTCTTGCAGCCATGTCTGTTCTCGAAACAAAATATAAACCTAATATGAACAGACAAGAAGCAATAGATCTTTGCAAGGATGCTATTTTAGCGGGTATTTTTAATGATCTAGGTTCAGGAAGCAATGTAGATGTAGTTGTCATAGAAAAGGAAAAGGTTTTTTTTATTATTTAAAAGTCTATTTTTAATTATAACCAGGCACAATATCTTCGTAATTATCTCAAACCAAATGAGCGGGCACCTAAAGAAAGGTGCTATAAAATCGAGAGAGGGACTACAGCAATAATTAAAAGAGATATCAAAAAATATGTTACCACTGTAGATATTAATGATGAAATGGAAATTGATGAATAAAATATATTTTACATTTTGAAGAATCATATAAAAACGCTATATTAATACTTTAGATAAAAGACATTTCATCTATTTCTCGCTGAAACTCTACTAATCTCATTTTTCTCGCATCTTTGTTATGTAGCATAACTAATCCTGAACGTAATAAAATTCTTCCTATTACTGAATCTTCAACTATCATATATGGATCTGCGCCTGGCAAAACTGATTGATTCATCAAATTCTAAAGACATTAATATTTTAATATACCAGAAATAATTATCCCTGCCTCAAGTAATTCCTTTGTAGAATTGCAAAGAGTAATTTTATCTTTCTGTTGTATAGAGACATGTTTATCTAATGTTGATTGACCTGATTCTGCCGGCAACTTAGTATGTTTTTTTTCAGGTAAATCTGCATGTCCAACTGCTGCGCCAGATTGTTCTGCAAGCAATATATCACCCAATTCTTCATCAATAAACCTAACAAGCTCACGCATAAACTTATTAACTGATCGTTCAGCTTCTTTTACATTCATACGACATTCACTTGTTTCTAATTAAAAAAAAATAAAAAATGATTAAAAACCAACTTTAATATCTCTTGAGAGCTTCTTTGACTTTGTTTTTCCAGCTTTTTTAATCTTTCATCTAATAAAGATCCAATTATTTTACTTTCTTCCAATATTTTTTGCTCTCTTAAAAATATTAACATAAAAAAAAAACACAAAAAATACCTCTCAATGATGGACAATGTCTTTTTCAACCGTTTTTCCAATATTTTCATAGTCAATTGTGCTTCTGTTGTATTTTTTTGAATTTTCTGCCGAGCAAGTAAACTAGTAATAAAATCATCATCAATTGTAAAATCAACCGTCCGTGATAATTCTTCATATAGATTTGCATAATGTTTTATCCATGCTAATCTTTCTCTGGGATTTTTTGTGTTCTAAATAATAAATAATAATTAGATACGTTAAACATAATTTTATCCTTTCTGACCTTCTCAAGATCTGCCAATTTTTGAAAAGAATAAGAATCTGACACGGCTACATTAGATTCTTTGATCTCTTATCATTATTTTATGTCTTTTCCTAGTAAAAGCTTACATTCTTAAGAAATTCTGTTTGATAATGAATTTTCTCATTTAAATCTTTAATTATCTCATCTAATCTGAATTCATACGGATCATCCATAGAAAAGTTAAATAAATCTTCATTATCAAAGGTAATTAAGGCATATTTCCTACATTTTTCTGCAAATTTTTGAAATCCACTCATCATTAAGTTATCGTAAAAGCAACTACTCTAACCTTTAAGATAGAAAATATATTAAGTAAAAATAGAATATTTACAAAATTTTAACAAATTTTTAATCAGGAAAACATAGAATAAGTTGTTAAAAATCAATTCTTTTTTTTGCCTATTTTTATCAAAAATAAGATTTTTTAAATATACTATTGAAACTTTATATCTTAATTTAATAAAAATGGTAGATTTATCTGTTATGATTAATAAATATAGTTTTTAATAAAAAATTTAATTTTTATTAGTTTTATATTTATTCATTTATCATTATTATTAATTTTCTAAAAAATATTAAACATTTTTCATAAAATATGTAATTTTTATATTCTAAATATAATAGGTAAATCTCTAAATAATCAAGATTTATCTAAATTTTTGCTTAATGCATTTTTTGCAACTTAAATATAAATTTAAACTTATAATGACTTGATATGCTTTAAAAAAAATACAATTATTATTATTTAAAATTTAAAATCATTCTTCACTATTATAATATATATCACCATTTATTTTTAAATATAATCTATGCTAAATACAAGATCAATATAAAATATTCATATCTTAAAGTTATATTAAATACAAAATAATATAAAATCTTAATCATAAAAAAACATTATAAAATATCCAAATTAAAAACTTTAACAAAAACTAAATAGAAAAGTAAATAAATAATAATAAATATATATAATACTTCAATAATGCAAATTGAAAAATATGATTATCTATGTAATTATATTTAAAATCTGATCCATATTTCCCCTAAATAAGTTTACCCCAATGGATTCAAATTAAAATATCATAAAGAATAGCAAATATAGTAAAATCATGTATTTAACATTTCCTCAAATATTACAATCCATCACAGCATCTGATTAATTTTACTCCAATTTCAAAACATTATAATCTCAAATTCCTGAATAGCGTCTATTTTTATGATAGCTACCTGGAAAATAAGACACATTCTCCGTACTATCCAGAGTATCAGGATAAGACTTAGAGTTGGATAAATAATAAATTGACCTTGAATCGTTATCTGAAACTTGATTCGAATTATAACAACTATAGTTTGAATTGAATGAGAGTTCTGAAAGATACTCTCTACTATCTGCCATTACATTCTCTTCTTTAGTAGGCGATTCTACTTCGAAATTCGTATAAAAATGCATAGAATTCTCTTTATCTTTTATGTCCTTTACATCATAATTATAATTCTCTATATTTCTTTTATTAGAAATTAAATGCATTTTCTTATTTTCCAATCTTTTCTTTTTCCATGGAGATCTTTGAGGCATAGGCTTTGGTGTATATTTTGGCGATGTATCATAATACATATCCATTCTTCTATGAGGATCAATTGGTTCTTGATACCATACTGGATACTGTGGAACCAGTGTTGGTTGTACTAAAACCGTAGGCTGCGACTTAACATATCTAGTAGGTTTACACAAAAAGCAGCAGCAGCAACAACTACGTATAATATTCATAATAAAATAGTAAATAACAAGCACTGTTCCCTTATCAACACAATTTCTATCAACCAATTCACTTACAAATAAAAATCCCAAAAAGAATTAGTAAAATCATAGGGATTAAACACCAATAACTATTAACACATTCTTTTGGACTCGAATATGCTTGTTTGATCTTGTCAATTGTATCTTTACTCGAATAATATAGTCCATCAAATACATTTGAATTATTCGATGTCATTTCTTCTTTTAATCATTAAAATATCCTTTAAAAATGCTTAAAAAACAGGCAATTAATGCCAATTAAATTCAAATACTTAGATCCCCTTATAAATAAACAATCTCTTATAGAAATACTTTCTTAAGAAGTAAATATAACTTCTAATACTCTTCTTTACTAAGCTCGTAAGGAAGATTAAGCTAAGCTGTTTTGTTTACAAATATCTAAACCCTGAACCCCTAAACCCTATGCACTTGACACCTAATACGATTATCCCTAAAATAACCCTAAAGTAACACGAAAAGAACCCTAATCAAACAGGGGTCAACCTGGTTAACCCTAACCCTGGAACTACAAGGGTAATCCTTGTTAACCATAACCCTAGCCCTATGATAACCCTGACTCTTCACCCCTAACCCTCTCGCAACCCTAAAATAACCCTAAAATAACCCTAAAGTTACAAGGGTCATCCTGGTTAACCCTAAGTTAACCCTAAACAACCCTAAACAACCCTAAACAACCCTAAACAACCCTAAAACAACCCTAAAGTAACCCTAAAGTAACCCTAAAGTAACCCTGACTCATTACCCCTAACCCTCTCGTAACCCTCTTGTAACCCTAAACAATCCCACGCCAACCCTACACCAACCCTAAGGCTACCTGGCCCCCTAACGAACACCTATTTAATATCCCTAAACCAACCCTGTGTTATGCTATCAATTACCTAATCCTAACACTGAAATCAAGAATAGAGAAAAAAACTATACATATTCATCTTCTTAACAAAAACCCACTAGGAAAAACATCTCTAACATTTGCAATTCAATATTAACCAACTATCATTTTTTTCCATTCTATATAGAGTTTATCGTTAGGATCTAACTTGACCTTAACATAAGTTTAAAAAAATAATGGATGCTACTTATAGGCTTTATAAACGTCACTATTGTGATTATAAACCAACACTTCAGGAACGGTATGATTGTTATAGTCGGTGGAATTCATGGGGACGATGGATGGTAGCAAGTATGATATTGATTGGGATTATTTTTCTTTTTACATGTATTTTGTAAGAAAGATTTATAAAAATAGATGAACATTTATAAAAAAAACAGCTGCGCAAATAGGCGGCGAGCGGAGCAGGGAAATGCACCTATTAAATATACGGGATGGTTTATGCCATGGCAAGCATATCCGCCACAACAACAATATGGATACCCAGTGCCGATGACGTCATCATATCAACATCCAGTAGTGCAAAATCAGCCTTGGCAAAGTGAATATCCAGCGCCTCCTTATGAGCCACCAAACGCATCATCATCATCTAATCCTCAGCCTTCTATACCAACTCAAAAAGAAAAATAGGCATGTTTAAAGCCTAATTTTTTAGTAGATGACTGGTTTATAATATTAAGGGTTTTGTTGATATCATTAAAATGTATTATTAGAAGTATTTTATTGATAAATTTATAATCTAATTATTTTGGAAGAATATTATATTGAATAATAAAAGAACTCTATAAATACGCCTTTACACGTTTATATATAACCGACAACTTGCGACAGTGGTTACTCGGTTGGCCTGCTACCCGATTTAGCTAGCCAATAGGCTTTGCCTACGCAGGTTCGAATCCTGCAGTTGTCGGGTGTTTTTTAATATAATAAATACCTAAATTTATTAATATTTAATTATTCATAAATATTTTTTTTTGCATTCATTAATGAGTAATAATGGTTAAGAAAATATCAAATAATTAGTTATTAAGTCAAGAAATATAAATTTTAATTGATAAATATGAATTCATATTTTTTTTTTTTTAATAGAACTGAATATGCTTTTGTATACAAGTTGCATGAAACCAAATATATATACATCAGATTGACACCTGAAATAAAATATATAACTTCAAGTTAATATTGAAAGATCGATTGTATCATTAATAAAAGATTATACATTAATATAAAAGCTATAGAATAACATAGAGACAGCATCAAATATCCGTTAAGTGATTCCGAAAAAGAACATATAGATAAAAAACCCATCCTTAACAAAATGATAAAAACCTGATCGACAAATAAAAAATCAATTGATAAACAAAAATCCAATACAATAATTAAACATTAAAAGGCTCAGCAAAAAACATTTTACCTAGCTTCATTTAGAGTGATTTATTAAAACTTTTTAATAATATTACCAAGCTCATAGCTTGAAATCATAATTGAACATGCAGGACTTACTTTAAGTATTCGTGGAACAGCACCTCGAAATAGACCCTTAATACCCGTTTCCTTAAAAATATCGTACATAACTTTCCAAGTGCTTTGCCTTACAGCTGAAATAGATCCATTAGTGCTATACCAAATTTGACGACGTGTTTTAACAGAATCAAAAGGATGCGTAATTAATGCAGCAATAGTACCACTCAATCCACCAGAAATAAAACTCTTTACATACTCAGATGTCTTAGGATTCAAATTTTTAAAAGGTTCTGGAGATTTATTTAAAAAATATTTAATTTTTTCATAACCTAGCCAATAAAATCCACTAAATGGAACATCGCGCCATAACGTAGGACTCAATCCTTTCCATAAGCTTTGAAAACCCTGAACTTTCACCATATCTTGAATACTAGTAACCACTGTAGAAAATATCGAACTAGAAGACGGAGAATGTGCCGCAGATTGAAGACGAACTTTAAAAAGTTCCAAAGGAGATATTACTGTAGCAGATATCGTCCTTGCAAATGCACCACAAAACAAGGGTGCCAAGGGTGACGAAAAGTACTGACGAAGATGATCATACCCAACAAAATAAATAATTGTAGACGGTAACGCCATCACTCTAAAAATATTAAATATCTCAGACAAAACATGAATCCAATTTACATTGTAGGAGACAATCCTCTCCATAATGCAGTAAATCCTTCATTCCGAGAAATTTTTACGATTGCCTCAAGAGTTCCATTAAATCGATTTCTTGAAGAATCAGTAGTATAATCTATACAAAAATGGTTCAACATAGAATCTGGGTTAAAACAACATGCTATTTCTCCTATATTTTGAGAATGAATTGATGAATAAAAAATATCTCGACAACATGATTTCATTATAAATGTATCTACCGTTTGACTTTGTAATCTTGTTTTAATCAAATCAAATGGCGTAACAACAACAGACGTAACAATAGCACCCATACAAGCTGAAAAAATCTTCTGAATTACCGTAATTTCAGATATTTGTTCCATATTAATTTATCTGCATAATCTCCCTTAATTGATTTTACAGCTTAATCTAAATGCTTTTTTCCAGGAAAAAAAAAAAACTAAATAATAACCAAAAATATTTATAATACTATTAATATTCCTTTTAATATGTCTTAATATAATGCCTAAATTTATTTAAAACTCATTAACCAAAAATTTAATTTTTCTTAAAAAATTAGGCCTCATCGAACTAAATATTTATTAAAAGTGCCATAATAAAAAGAGGGAGTAGATTAATTAAAATAAGAAATATGTTTAAATATAAGTTATAATAGAACTAAGAATAAATTAAAATAGCCCATTTAAATCATTTATTTAAATCATTTATTTAAATATAAAAATATTTAGAATATATTAACATTTAAAAAAAAGGAATTGTTTAATAGATGCATTTATCCCACAATTATAGTATGTATTTTATTAATGATATTTGCAATTACATCTGATGTACATATTAAACCATCATCTACAGGAAAAATTCTTTTTTTATACTCTTTTCCAATATCGATTCCTCTACTCCATATAAATCGACAAGATTCAATTATATTATAGGGGGATTTTAAATTGTTCGAAGATTCTAGCTTAGTCCCTACGTATCCCTCTAATTCCATGGATCCGTTTTCAATGTCTTGTCTTTCCATCTTTTTATATGTTTCTAAAAAATCAACTGATTGATATTTTAATGCTATATCAAAAATATAATATACAAGTGTTCCTTTATCAAGGGCAATTGCATTGTTATTCAATAAATTGGAAGGTACTGATTTTAATATAACGCCCAAAGCATATTGATTTTTTGTATACGTAATAATAAATTCTAATGAAGATTGAAATAATACATGAAAATTAGATGTCCCAAGAGTTTCCGCCTCTAATTTCCCAACAATTTCCAAAAAAGGGAGTGTTTTGTAAATAATTTCTGCAAATAAGTGAATATTTCCACGAGAATCCTCTAATATTTGACAAAGGTGAGCCTTAATTCTAGAATGTGGATTCATATAACCATCAATAGCACCAATTTCAAGACAATACTTTATTAGAGGAGGATTAGTTTTTTGATAATGGTTATCGTATCCAATTTCTAGCCAAAAATAGTTTTTTTTGTAATAAGAAAATCTAACAGCATCTAAATTAAAATCGTCTAAAACTAAAAAATGATTAAATTCATTTGATTTAAAGACAAGCCTGATAACTGTCTCTATTTTTAACCACAATTCAAGAAACACATCAATAACAGAAGATATATTTTTACCCATTTTATAAGTAATTTTCATTAAAAAATATTTAGATTTAACAGAAAGTTCAATGTTATCTCTTTTATATTGCTGCAACAATGCTGTTATAAACTTAAGGTTAATCAACTTCCCATAAAAAATAATTTTTAATTCATCAAAAGAATGTTCAGAAAATGAAAACTGAGCAAACATGTTTTTACAAATCCAAACTTTAGCCATCGGGGAAATATCATTAGTATAAAAATAAAAAAAAGGTATTACCAATAATCGACATATAGAAAGATCATGCAAGTATCCGTAATGAATGCCCCTTCTGTCAAGATCTCGAGAAAACTGAAGAATTGCTACTCTTATTATAGAATATTTATAAATGCTTTCAAGCAAAGAATATGTCGGTGAAAGATAAGAATCTACTTGGAAATCTGATTCATTAAATTTTCGTTTTTTTCCTGAATGTATTTGTATTTTTTCAGACCATAAAATATTCCAGCCTAAAAAAATATCATATCTCGAAATAGCAACTTCCAGAAGCCACCAGCTAGTATTTTGTCCAGAAAGAAAACACACAACAAAAAAAATACTTTTAGAAGACATTTGTTTCCAACCTAATATAGAATTCGTCAAAAAAATTGTATATTTAATTTCTGATCCAAAATTATCCTTAAAATCTTTTTGTTTAAAAGATCCTAAAGGAAACTTAACAACATCCCAACCTAAAAATTTGGCCTTTGATTCAATATCATCATATAATATTTTGCATTTTAGTCGAATTAATATTTCTAATATATTTTGATTTGGAATATTAATTAGCTTTCCATAATTTTTTATACTTAAAGGTGAACATAGAAAAAAATCTGATTCCATGAGCTTAAATTTTCCACAAATAGGATTAATAAATATTAATATATTTTTTGCTTTTGAACATCTAATTCTTAAAACAGGAACTTCATTATTTTTACCCATACTAGAAATAAAAATAGAATTAATTGAAAAACTATTAGATTCTAGTAATATTGTGTAGATTTTTTTTAGAAGCAGCATTGAATGAGCATTAATAATTTTAGATACTATCTCTTTAGCTGATATATTTGTTTCATTCTAAAAAAGTTAAAAAATGTCATTTAGAAATATAAATTACAATATTTAGATCATTACAAGATTGAATCTCATCTCCAATTTTCCAAGAATATGTTATTACCGAATAATCGTAATCAAAAGATATTCGATTATACGGAAACATATAAGGAACAATGCTTTTCTTCTTAGGTATATCAATATATATTCGAATACTATTAGGCCAAATTATATTTTTTTTCATTGATGTCCTAAATTCATCAGAAATAAGTAAAAAAATAATAGTCCCATAATAACATTGGCCAATATTTCAATGTTAATGATCTTTTAAAACTATCAAAACTAACATTAAGCCTATCTTTCCATTTTCCATATACCATTTCCTTTGCTTCTATAACTATAATTTCAAGTTTATAAAAAAGAGTAAATTTATCTTAAAGCATGAAAAAAAAAATATAAAATTAGTGCTAAACTTACGAAGAAAATTATACAATTCTACTATAGGTTCTTTTTTTTGAGCAACAGATGACTTTAAAATTTCATTACCAAATTTCTCAATTTCATCTTTTATATCATCATTTGTAGCAGGAGCTCCTTCAAAATTCCATTCAAAATCAACTAAAAACCATAAAAAATCATTTGTTTTAGAAATGTCTTCTCCAACAAAACTTAAATAAATCACAAATTCATTCTCAACTAAAAATTTAGCTCTCCCATTTTCCACAACATAAGATAACATAGAATATGGTAAAACTTGATATAAAGACAACCTCAACGAAATTAATATATTAAGTATGTTAAAAGTTTGTAGAACTTTATTAGGGCTTAAAGTGTCTGGTGTTATAAATGCAGCCTAATATATCTATATATAATTATGTTATAGAAAATAAGCACTTCTTACAGATATTTCTGAAAATTTAAGTCGAGGAAAAGTTCCTGTAGAAAGAACTTCCATAGCAGTAACAATATCAGGACTTCTAACCCTAAAATACAATAAAATACAAATAAAAATGTCAAAAATATACCGAGCATATGACAATTGATGTACAATTGCTTTCAAAGAATGAATAACATTTGAGAAACAATTTTTTTGACCTTGCAAAAATGCAATAATATCCTATTCTATATTTAAAAATATATATATATATTGTTTTCAAAAATACAATGCATTTTTGAACTTCTTCAGAACTATATGCCCATTTAACAAGAACATATAACTTAATCATTTGCCTTTTTGTTGAAAATATATATTCAAGAATTGTTCGTTTTTTTGAAACATTTGACATAGAAGGAAGTCTTAACCACATATCAAAACTTTCATTTCACTTAAAATAAAACTTACAATTCCAAAATATTTTGAAGTTCTGAAAATGTATGATAAACAACTTGTTGAATCTAAAATTTCATTAAAAAATCATATAAATCCCATTTAAACATAAAAAACGCACCACATCTTTCAGAGGAATCATCCCTTCCGTAATTTTAGGCAAAGGAGGCGGTGATATATCCATTATTCTAAACACTATATGTTCTTTCTATGCAAACTCCTATTTCTATAATTCAACACTTTTTCACCGTTTTTTCTCCTAAAAAAAAGGAAGATATAGTATTTTTATATCAACAATTCAATATTCTTTAGATATTTTCAAGAAAAATGGCCATTACTTGTCTTATATCAGTCAATATGTTTTTTATCTATATCGGAGGTCGTCGACAAAAATTTAATATTAAACATATATTAACTACAGTTTATACAACTTATTATAAATTAAATAATTTTATAACTGAAGAGCATAAGGATGAATATAAGACTTATAATACATCTTATATTTTCCTTTATATATATTTTCTCTTCTTTTATTTATGCAGAAACAGACTATTATAAAGTTTGGCCAAGGAATTTTAATAAAAAACAAGGAATTGATAAATATTTAGATCCTTGAAGTAGATAGAAATGCAAATAGTAGAGATTTAAAGAAAGCATATTATCGTCTTTCAAAAAAATGGCATCCAGACAAGAATGGTGGAGATGAAAAGAAATTTCGAGATATATCACATGCGTATGAGGTATTAAGCAACCCGGAAAAACGTAGGATCTATGATATGAGTGGAGAAGATGGATTAAGGGAACATGAAGAATATGGTGATGCGAAAAATCATGATCCATTTGATATTTTTTCGAGGTTCTTTCAAGGAGGATTTCATGAAGAGAAAAAAGGACCAGATATTAGGAAAGATATAGAATTAGAACTAGAATCATTATATTATGGAGGAATTCATATAGTCGATGTTGATAAAGAAGTATTATGTAATCATTGTAAAGGATCGGGACGAGATCCTAAACATAAAGATAGTTTAGCACGTTGTAGTGAATGTAACGGAAGAGGAGTTCAACTTATACGTCAAATGATAGCCCCAGGAATGTTTCAAACGTTTCAAATAATGTAATATCTATATATCTATATATCTATATATATAGATAATAAATAAATTTACTAACGAAGTTAGTTGTGATTCATGCTCTGGACAAGGACATGTGATATCACATCCATGTACTCTCTGTAATGGAAAAAAGGTTTTAAGAAAGAACGAAAAGTATACGTTAAATATCCCACCGGGTGCACCCTATGGTTATCAATTTGTTTTTGAAAATGAAGCAAACGAAAGTCCAGATTGGGTGGCAGGTGATCTTTATATTGTTATTACTGAAAAACCCTACTCGAAAAGTGGTTGGATACGAAAAAACAATGATCTATATCGCATCGAAATGATTTCTCTTTCAAATGCATTACTAGGGGGCTGGAGTCGCAAAATTAAGCTATTTAATAATGAATATTTTAATATAACAAAACAAGCGGGTCATATTGTGCAATCAAGTATATAAATTAAACCCAAATTATTAACTTTTTAAAAACTTAACATAATATAGATCATGTTGATGTATTTCCACAAAAAGGGATGCCAGTATGGAATTCATTAGAGAAATCGGGTAAATTAGATAGAGGTAATGTTTATATCGAATGGAAAGTAATTCTCCCAGAACTTAAACTAAATGATCCTCTTCGAAAAAGTGATTATCTATATTTTTACATATTTTCAAACTAATAACTCAATAGAATTAGAGAAAATTCTTAAAAAATAATTTTTACTCATTATACCAAACAAATAGTCATTTTGAACATATATATATTTATTTTCTTAATATAATCTATTCATCAAACATTTAAGTAAAAACTAAATTAATACATTAAGGCTAAGCCTAACTCATTTAATATACTTTAAAAATAGGTATACTATTATGGAAATTTTTACATAAAGCACTTAATAATTGATTTATAAGTTCTTTAATATAAAAAATAATAGGGTAAAACATATTTTCGCAAGATGGTAAAAATGAAAAAAACCCTTGCAAGTTATTTAATTGTTTGTAGCAGTTCATTTTTCCTTGGGATTCTTTTCATTAGTGTTAGTTTTTTTAAAGCTATGGAAATTTAAAGACTGACAATAAATTAAGTGGATAGTGGATCATTTTACATTTTGGAAGAATCCAGCAACAGACCAAGCTCTTTTAAATGCAGAAACATATTACTTATTATTATATCAAGCACCATCTATTCATAAAATCCTTTTACATATATTAATATGTTTTGGCTTTTTTGCACATGTCATGAAACTTTATGGAGGAAATAAAAGTAATCTATTATTTGATAGTGGAAGTTTAGTTCTTTATATCGCAGGGATTATAATTTATAATGTTTATCTTATTCAAGGTATAATTTTTTATTACTATAATACTCTTCATTTACATTATTTAATAATAGGCCTTGAAACTATTTTCCAGCGTACTTATAATTCATTTAATAAAATAGATACATTAAGAATCTTAGCAGCAACACATGTTGTATTAGCACTTATTTTAATAGGTATTCTTGTTTTACAAAGTAGTCAATTTTGTGCAGAACAAACAGTTTTACATTCAGAAACGTTAAGTAAACGTCCTAAGAAACATTTACAAAGTAGTCGGCGCTTTTTGTACTAAATGAAAAAAACAAAATAGACCTTAAAAATTGAATTAAACATTGAAAAAGAACATAAAATAATATCAGTATATTAAACAAAACATTTAAATAACTATTTAAATTCTTTGATAGAATTATTAAAAAAGGTTAATCTAAATAAAATAATATTATCATTTTATGAAATATTTAAATGTAAAAAAGGATTATTTATATGAAAACTGTTATATATAAAATCTTATTTATTTCATAAACTCTTAAATTTACATTTCATTATATAAAAAAATTATAGTTTATTGAAGAAAATAATTAGATATATAAATAAGTTTTAAAATAAATAAATATAAATAAAATGATAAAGATTTATTCATAGAAAAGAAAAAGATATTAGTTATAAAAAACTTACAAAAATTTAAACATAAATTATCTTAAATATTAAAATAAAAAAGTACGTTTTCATCACTAAATCTAAAAGACCTACTTCTTATAATTATATTTTTCAAGATATAAAAACAAAAAATGCTTTTCCTTAATCTCTTACTGCACGTACTCGGGATCGAACCGAGGACCTCTCGCGTGTGAAGCGAATATGATAACCACTACATCATACGTGCCTATTCCAAATTTTTAGCAAATTATCAAAAAATAAAGATGAATTACTTTGTAATCTAAACTATTTACTTTAAACATTATACTTAAGGAAATTTAAGAGAATTTATAATCTTAATATATACTATTCTAAATAAACATGAAAAAATAGTTGAAACAATACAAAATTTTTCTATATTGTTTCATATCAATTCTATACATTAATTTAAAAACTTTAAAATAAAATTTTATATATTTCAAAATCAAAAGATATGTATTTATAAATTTATTGAAGAAATATATCTAGAAAAATTTAAATAAAACAATAATGATTATTATATTATAAGGACTTTATAAACTTTAAAAATGAATTTATAAAAACAAAGATATATTTAACATATATAAATAAAATAAAAATAATAAATATAATAAATTTGGCGTTAAGACTTAATAAAAACGAATTGATATAGATATGATTTTTTTCTAGATAGAAAATAGGATTTTATAAAATCATTGAAAGAAACACATAAATAACATGAAAAACATTAATTTTAGATTCTAAACAAAGATACATTGTTTTTTTAATATACTAGCTCTATATTTCTAAAAATAGAAAAAATCTTTCATAAAAATATCAATTATATTTATAATATAATTTCAAAAATATTAAAATATGCTATTTTTATATTTTTAGATAAAATTAACTTTAATAAAATCTTAAATATCTATCTGAATAATATTTTATTAAGTCTGTATTTACATAAGCCATCTTATAGACAAAAATATAATATTAATCATATAATTACATGTATTTAATAAAATGTAAATGCATATTGAATATTTAGACACTTTTCCATCAAAATCAAAAAACATTTAAATGAAAGCCATTAAATAATACTTTATTAGCCATAAAACATTTTTATATAATATAATAAAATACATATACCCATAAATTTCAAACAAGATTATATTTATAAAATAATATATTATTAGCTATCATAACGTATCATATTCCGCAACCATTTAATGTTTAAACATGAACAAATATGAGTTCTAAGTACTACATCTGAGTAATAATCTTATAAATGTCATAAAAATGAACGTGAGACCTTACGAGACAACCGTTTTAAACCAAAATATGGAAAATTCAATGGTGATTCAGTTCCCGTATAAATAAAGAAATCATATAAAAACCCTCCCAATAAACATCCTGCAAAAGGTGCAACCATAGGTACCCAAAAATAATAATGACCGGCAGACCATACTTCGTTACCATAACCTACAGCATAAGATAAAAGACGTGTTCCGAAATCACGAGACATATTAATTGCATAACCTGTTTGCCAACCCAAACATGCGCCAATACCGAAAATGAGAAAAAGAATAATCAAAGGGCCTTTATCATTTGCTGGCGTATTGTATTGGTCACAAATAGCAAAAATACATGCCATAAGTACAGCAGAACTCACGAGTTCAGATAAAAATTGCCTTCCTGTTGAAAGAAAAATAGCAGGATAGGTACTAAAAACAGAAGCTGTTGAAGTCGATCCAATAACTGTTCTTAGACCCGCTCCTTCAAATGCATCAAATGCAGAATAATAGTTTAGATAAACAATTAATGCGCCAAAAAAACAACCTAGTGTTTGAGAAATGGCGTAAATAGGAAACTTCCAAAATGGAAATTTTCGAAACACACAATTTGCCAGCGTTACACATGGATTTAAATGCCCCCCAGAAATTCCTCCACTAATATAAACACCTAATTACCTGTTATTCATATCTTATGTTAAATCTATCCAATTATACCAAACATAACACCAATACCCCAACCCCAATTAATTGATTGATAATTTCCTTTTGTACTATTCGAAAGAACAACTTGCGCAACAACTCCATCACCGAAAATAATCATCTATACCAATGATTCAACTTATATAAAAATAAAAAAAAAAATACCACCAAACATGCAAAGAATTCTGCAAGAGGCTCCCGTAACACTTTACGAAATTTAACCCATGTATTTTCAGTCGCTAAATCATCTATATAAAAATATTATATACTCATAAATACCCCTTAGCCTTACTTTCATAAGCTGTTGTCGTCTAATTTATTCATAAGAAAATTATTTATCTTATTAATTTATTAATATCTTACTTTTGATTGAAAATTATCTTGTTTTTCAAGTTTATCATTAGAAACAGGAATTAGCTCCGTCATGTTTAATTAAAATAATCGATTTTATGATTTTTTAACTTAAAACTATTCTTAAAATAGGAAAAAATAATTTATCTAAAATGAATTCTGAATCTGATCATATGATAAGACTAACGGCACACATCCTAGTATTTTACAAAACTAGTTCTATTATAACTAGCACTAATAACATAACAAGTATAAAGCCCTAAACCCTTAACTATTAACCCTTAAAAATAACCCTAAAACGTATACAATCAAACCTAACACTGATTAAGATGATATCGTCTTATCAAAACTAACGATAAATCAATATTAAAAAATATATATTTTTGAAATATAAAAAGGAAATAACATGAATAGAAGCCATTCTCTTCGCCATGGAAGACCTACATCAGGGAGTTCACGTACAAATGGACATAGTAAAGATCTTAAAAAGATTAAATTAAATTAATAAAAATAGGATTTACATTCTTAAGTTTAAGAGGTCATGCAACTCATACAAGCCTTCCAAAGCTTATTAAGATGGAAAATAATTTAGTTTCAGCATACGAAACAGCAGGACGAGAGCAACAAACAGTTGCGTTACAATTATCACAATGGGGTATTTAATTAGAAAAAAAAGACAAATAATAAATAAGGATAATAGGGGAAGAAACGGGAGATGATGCTATTGGAGATTTAAGTGATAAGGTGGCAGTTATTCTTTCAGAAATAGGAGATATTGAGGAAAATCATGCAAGTCAAATTGATGATTCACGAAGAGTATTAAAAACAATTCGTAATATTGAAAATTCAGTACAACCATTAAGAGATGCAAAACAAAAATTAATAGATCAAATTGTCATGTTAAAGCATAAAGATCCAGAATCAATTAAATTGATTGAGCAAGAACAAAAATTGGTTCGTTTGGAAGCGGAGAATCTTGTAGCTGAAGCACAATTAACCCATGTGTCTCGACAAAAATTAAAAGAGGCATATAATATGTATTTTTCGTCAGTTCAAGAGCGAGCAGAAAAACAACGTCTTTTATCACATTATGGCCGCAAACTTTTAGATTTATTAGATGATACCCCGGTAATTCCAGGAGATGCACGTATTGCATATGAATCAGAAAAAGAAGCAAAAGAGCTTCTTTTAGAAGCAGAAGAAGCGTTACATTCGTGGCGTCCAGGACAATTATCTTACGAAAGAGAACATATATCAAACAATAATTTAGTAACGGAACAAAGTCATAACAATTTTCGAAAACCTGATTTGTCTACGGTAGCTGTTATTAAACATGAAACGAATGAAGAAACTGAAAAATCTATATCTTTAGCATAATGTCATATCAAGAATGTTTAATTGATTTTATAAATATAAAACAGTATTTCTAACAGTCTAATCATACAAATAATATAGATAGCACGCATTAATCAGAAAATCATTATTTAAATGGAATTCTCGTTGTATTAGCAAATAATTAATTACATTTCTTTTTTTTTTAATATCATGAATTAATCAACTCTTATTTCAAAAAACCTCTTTATCAATTTCTAGAAACTCAAATATTTTCAAAAAATATCAATTCTACTAATTCATATGTTTCAAACATAAACATAATATATTTTTTCAATACAATCTTGCTCATTTAATCGTTTATCAATTTTATTTAATTATATCGGCTTTTAACCTCTAATTTTATCCAAAACTATAAAATAATGGGTATCCAAAGTTTTCATACATTAGAAAGAGAAAAATTATTTCGGAACCCAAGAAAGGAGTCAGCATATCCAGATCTTTTAGCAATCACTGCTCCTCACATTGAATCATTTAACGCATTGACTGATGATCAATTATTAAATCTTGCAGTCCAAGATATTGGGAAAAAATCAGTTTTTGATATGGAAAATGGAGTACTTGGTAATAAATTGTCATGTAAAGGCCATCATTCTAGGAAACAATTAAGTTTATTGATTTAACGGCGGGTAGTTCGTGTCGAAGAAGTTCAAATTGCAAAACCAACTCTTCCAACTCGTGAACGTACATGTATCAACCGAAAAATACTCCCATCAGAAGTAATATATAGTATATATATAAAGATATATGGAATATTTAGTTTTGCTAGTGCCGTGAACGTTTTTGCACATATAAAGCTCGCCTTCTTTTGAAGCTTGCATGGAGTGTAAATGATGGAGAAGAAACAACAGAAATAAGAGAATTTGGGCAAATTCCAATTATGGTTAGGGTAAGAAAAATTAAGATATTTCATATATTTTATACATATTATTAACAATTTAGTCGAACCGATGTCATATTGAAAAACTATCACCAGCAGATCTTATTGCATCTAGAGAAGAATCGGAAGAACTTGGAGGGTATTTTATCATCAATGGAAACGAAAAGATTATTCGGATGCTTATTGTCCCAAGAAGAAATTACGTAATGGGTTTAATACGATCCTCATTTACAAACAGAGGTACACATTATACACATTTTGGAACACAAATTCGCTGTGTTAGACCTGATGAAACATCCCAAACGAATACTTTACATTATTTGAGTGATGGAAACTGTATTTTTCGATTTTCATGGAGGAAAAGCGAATATTTAGTTCCTGTAATCATGATTCTCAAGGCACTTATAAATACAAATGATAAAGAAATTTTTGATTCTATTATTGGATCAGATAGAAAGAACACAGTTTTAATAGATCAAGTTGAGATTTTGCTTAGAACATATAAAAACTACGAACTTTATACACAAGAACAAACTTTACAATATCTCGGTGAAAAGTTTAGAATTATATTAAACTTGGATGAAGATCTTACTTATGTTTCTATTGGTAAGGAGTTATTAAGGAAGGTTGTCTTAGTTCATTTGGAAAACAATTATGATAAATTTCGCATGTTAATGTATATTTCATGTATATATTATTAACACACTTTCTAACTTTTTAGATTTATGATACAAAAACTTTATAGTCTTGTCTCTGGAGACTGCTGTCAAGATGATCCAGATTCTCTTCAGCATCAGGAAATACTTCTTGGGGGTTTTTTATATGGAATGATTATTAAAGAAAAAATAGAAGATTATCTATACTCTTTGAAAAACACTGTTTTGCAAGATCTTCGAAAATCAAATAATTCAGTTAACTTTTTTGAAAAAAAATATATTTCTAAATTATTTCAAAGAGTTCCTAATGATATTGGTTCAAAATTACAATATTTTCTTAGCACAGGCAATTTAGTTAGTTCTAGTGGCTTGGATTTGCAACAGACAACAGGATTTACCATAGTTGCAGAAAAGCTTAACTTTTATCGTTATTTAAGTCATTTTAGGATGGTACATAGAGGTGCATTTTTTGCAGATGTTAAAACTACAACAGTTCGTAAACTTCTTCCAGAAGCATGGGGTATATTTCTATTATTTCAATTCATATAAATTAATGTTATAAGGATTTCTCTGTCCTGTTCATACACCTGACGGGGCTCCATGTGGTCTATTAAATCATCTAACATATAAATGTAAAATTATTACATCAAATATTAACATAGATTCCATACCATATTTACTCGTAAGTCTTGGAGTAAATCCAACATCAAATATAGTGAGTAAGGAACATTCATGTGTACAGCTTAATGGAAAAATTATTGGATATTGTACAGATAAACTAGCATCTCATATTGCCCAATTACTTCGTCATTGGAAAGTCGAAAATTCACATAATGTTCCTTTGGAACTTGAACTTGGACTAATTCCTAAATCTTCAGGAGGACAATACAAAGGATTATATATATTTTCATCAAGATCTCGCATGACTCGTCCTGTTAAATATCTTGCACTAAATAAAGAAGATATCATTGGACCATTTGAACAAGTATATTTAGATATAGATATAGACTCGCATTTTTCTGGAGAAGTAGATTCACAATATTCTCATTCTGAATTAAATACATCTAACATATTTTCAATTCTTGCATCTTTAACACCATTTTCTGATTATAATCAATCTCCAAGAAATATGTATCAATGTCAAATGGCAAAGGTATTAATATACAATAAATAATGTAAAATATTCTAATTTCTTAAGCAAACTATGGGAACACCTGCATCATCATTAAGATATAGAACTGATGATAGACTTTATCTTCTACAAACAGGACAAACGCCCATTGTTCGCTCAAAAACATATGATATTTATGGATTGGATAACTTTCCTAATGGAACAAATGCAGTCGTTGCTGTTATTTCATATACGGGGTATGATATGGAAGATGCTATAGTTATCAATAAATCATCATATGAAAGAGGATTTGCTTATAGCACAATTTACAAAAGTGAGAAGGTAGATTTAGCACAAAAGCGACAAAAGGGGGAAAGGATTATATATCATTTTGGATTTGGAAATGATAAACTTCATCCTAAATGGATAGAAAAATTGGACGCAGATGGATTACCAATAATTGGTATAAAATTAGAGGATGGCGATCCTTTGGCAGCCTACTTTGATGAAACAACAGGAAAAACAATAATTCACGAGTATCATGGGACAGAAGATGTTTTTGTAGAAGAAGTTAGATTACTTGGTCTTTTTTTTAGAAAATATTCAAATACAAATACTGACTAAATCAGGGAATGACTCTGGAGATATGGAATGTCAATGCGTTCATATAAAACTTCGAATCTCTCGTCCTGCAACAATTGGTGATAAATTTTCATCTAGACATGGGCAAAAAGGTGTCTGTTCTCAAAAATGGCCAGCAGTAGACATGCCATTCAGTGAGAATGGAATACAACCCGATATTATTATTAATCCTCATGCGTATATTAATGCACATTCTATTATATAAAGTTAATTTTGTTTTAGGTTTCCTAGTCGTATGACTATAGGTAGAATCATAAACTTCATTTATATTATTAAAAATGCACTAGGAATGTTCATAGAAAGTATGGCCGGTAAAGCAGGTGCACTGCATGGACTAGTAGAAGATTCCACACCATTTATGTTTAGCGAAAAAAACACTGCAGTAGATTATTTTGGGAAACAATTAATAAAAGCTGGTTATGGATACAATGGCAATGAAACATTTTATTCAGGAATTACGGGTGATATTATGGAAGCAGAAATATTTATAGGAATTGTTTATTATCAACGATTAAGGCATATGGTATCTGATAAATTTCAAGTGCGTTCAACAGGACCTGTTCACAGTCTTACACATCAGCCTGTTAAAGGACGAAAACGTGCAGGAGGTAAATATTTTTTATTTAAAGTTATATTTTCTAAATATATAATAGGTATTCGTTTCGGAGAAATGGAGCGCGATAGCATAATAGCTCATGGAACAGCATATATTTTACAGGATCGTTTAATGAATTGTAGTGATTATACAAAAGCATGGATATGTAAACCTTGTGGTTCTATTCTTTCTCTTACCCCAACTATGATCATGGCTAGTACTGGAAACTCATTTAGATCAAACATAAGATGTCGCCTTTGTGCATCAGAAGTTACAGGATTTGAAAATGATTGCGATATATGGCAAGATAGTACGGGTAAAAAATTTAAAGGAGGAAATAATATTGCAATCATTGCATTACCATATGTATTCAAATATCTTGCAACAGAACTCGCTTCTATTAACATCAGACTAAAATTGAATATAAAGGATTCATAATTATCTATTAAACGCTATATCTTCATATTGATCATTATACTATACATTCAGAAATACAGGATTATCTATTATTTTTATCTAATCATTTTAAAACTTATTCAGACTTGTTTTTGATTCTTTTCACTAACTCATAAAGCTATCTACTAATTAATTTCTTTTAATATAATAACATCAATACCGGATAAAATTATTCATAATTAGATATTTCAACTAAAAATTCATTTTAAAAATATAAATTGATTAAGATATTTATCTTTAATCAGATTAAGCTTATATCCTTTCAAGCTGCAATTTTTAATATTTCCTAAATGTTTTTTTTATGAATCAGTAAATCCTAGAGATAAATATTTTCTATTCAGACAAATTTCTAGTTAATAAGGCTATATAAACGTAAGTCCAGGATTATTAATGTCACCAAAGTGATTTTTCATATAAAATAATGGGAATGTCTCTGTATTTTCTACAGTTTTTTATTTTATTTACTCATAAACAAGTTAACCTATGAATTTATCTCAAATAATAATATCAACTATTTAAACTGGAATTAACTATTTTCAGGGCTAAAATTAAGAAAGATGCTTTGTTTTTCGAAGTTATGAACGGGAATCCTCCAAAAAGAACTATTTTTAATCACATTTTTTCAGAAAATTTGAATATTAAACCATCCAATCAATTTAATGAAAATATTCTAGCAGCATGGGAATCAGCGAGTCAATTCTTTACTCCTGAATTCAAATATAAAGGTACTTTATAAACAATATATTTGATTATAAAAAGAATATATATATTGCAGATGTTTCACCCAATATTAAAACAGCAATTCATATTCTTTGTCATCACGGGTTAAAAGAACTATTACAAGAAAGTTATGAGCGTACGTTTAACTGTATATAATGGGTTTTAAATTTGATTTGTGAAAAGATTCAATAAGGATTCATTTTACAGAAAAATTTTTACCTATTTTACAAACATATAAAGTTATTTACATTTTATATTTTTTAAGATATATTTATGAATTTATAGATTACTCAGTCTAATTTTACGGAGTTTATTGAAAAATTGACAGAGGCATATCATATTTATCAACGACCACTAATATTAACTCATTTTGAGTAAGTTTAAGTATATACGTGGCACTTTTTTAATAAAAATAGCGCAAATGAATCATTTAAGCAAACATTGCATGCATTAATTAACAATTATATTTCAGAAGATAAACTTTATTCTGTTCTTTTAGAATGGTTATCAGAAAATATGGTGTTTTGGGAAAAAAACGAATCAAGTCCTCAAGTTACATGTTTCCTTTCTACTTGCAAAAACATAGAATTAGTTGGACTACAAAGACATTTGGAGAAAGCATTTTCTGAAAGCATATCTCGAAGGCTAAATAAACATATAAGAGAAAAATATTCTAAAAAGTGGAACAGAAGTGTTCAAGAAGAAATTGTTCAATGGACTATTAATAAATTAGGAAAACTCACGTTTTTGGTTTTGAAGTTTGATATAAACAAGAAGGATTTATATTTAAAATTAGAAACACTTGCATGTCACTTTCTAGCAATATTAAGGTAATATAAAATATTATATACCTTCTGATATTAATTTTCTTAGAATTGATGAACTATTCGATATTATAGTAGATTATCCATACTCTTCTGTTGCGCTAGAAGATTTGAAAGTATTAGAGATTTTATTCTTTTGAAATTATAACATTTTTTAGCGATCTATGAAATTATCTCCTCTTAGAGATTATTTAGTCAATTCGTTTCAAGAATCGTATGTAAAAAAGTATTTAGAATATATTTAATTATGTTTTAGATGCAAAACAAGACTTTTGCATCCAGGAGCAGATACACAGGATATAATTTCTCAGTATATATCAACTATCAAATGTTTTCTTATCTTAGATCCTCCTGGTGTCCTTTTAGATAAAGTAGCAAAGCCTATTAGAAAACATTTAAAGTCATATTTAAAAATTATAGCTTTTTCTTTGATTAATATTTTATAGAAATCGAAATGACACTATCAAATGTATTATGGTAGGACTTGTTGGAGATGAAACAAGTGAACTAAGTGAAGAACTTGGCCAAGCTAATCCATCTTCTGTTCAAGTAGATGATGATGATGATGATTTTGATAATCTTAATTGGACACCAGATCCCTTTGATGCAGCTCCTGGTAATAAAATATACAATTATATTATTATTATTTATCTACTATATTTAGACTTTCGAAAAATGAATAATAATGATATTATTAAAAGTCTTGTCAGTATCTATGAAAATAAGGATATTTTTGTTAGAGAACTTCAGAATCTTCTAGCTGAAAGACTTCTCACTACTACGAATTACGAAACTGATAAAGAAGTAAAACATTGTTTCAAAATAAAGCATTTCTTAACGTTTTTAAGTTACGAAATTTAGAGCTTTTAAAATTACGATTTAGCGAAAACAGTTTGCAAATGTGTGATGTAATGCTTCATGACATTGCAGAATCTAAAAGAATTGATACAAATCTACATAAAGAATTTGATAATGACGTAATATTCTAAAAAATTATTTTGTTACAGTAAAGTTTAATATTTAAAGACACCAATACATGCAAGCATACTTTCTCAACTTTTTTGGCCAAATTTTAAGGGAGAAACATTATATCTTTCAAAAGAAATACAGGGGTAATATATAAGCAATATTTGAAGTGTGGAATGTCTAATTTAATTAGCTATATGGATAACTATGCAGAAAATTTTGAAAAACTAAAAGCTTCAAGAAAATTACATTGGATACCTAATTTAGGCCAAGTGCAAATTGAAATAATTCTGGAAGATAGGACATTAAATATGAATGTTAGACCTGTACACGCATCTATTATTTTACTTTTTCAAGAAAAGGGCAAGTAATATTAATATATCTATATATTTACTTAAAATCTTTAGATGAACAAACTATAAAGGATGTAATGGACGCCATAGGACAAGATTATGCAGACTGTAGAAGAAATACTCTTTTTTGGGTAAAATATGGGGTTCTTAAAGAAATTTCAAAAGATACTTTTAAAGTTTTAGAATATGCAGAAGCAGAACCATCCAACAAAGGTTTAGATTTTTAATATTAAAAGACGTTGTTAATTATATTAGCTCTTTCGGTTTTTGAGGAGTTAATTTCAAATGTTCAGGTAGCAGAAGATCATGCTTCAGAAGAAATGAGAATATATTGGTAATTATTTGTTTTTCAAGAATAACTTCTAATTTATAGGTCGTTTATAAATGGAATGCTCACTAATCTGGGTCCATTGACTTTAGAAAGAATCCACTCAACATTGCAAATGTTCGTACCCCCTCCAAATCTATATAATCGATCAATTGATGAATTACGAGAATTTCTGGCTTTAATGGTAAAAGAAGAACAATTGGAGTTTGTTTTAGGTCAATACAAACTTAAAAAATAATAAACTATTAAAATAATAAACTACTAAAATAATATTTATAAATATAACCTATAATACATTACAATGCTAATAAACATTTTTAAAATAATAAAATATTTTAAAAACTAAATACTATTAAATAACTTCATGTTTTCTATTATAAAATATTGCTAAAAAATACATAAATAGCATGAAGAAATTCATAAATTTTAAGTAGTTCCAAATATGCATTCTCTTTTTCTAATCAGAGGAATTGATGTTCGAGTCATAAATGTTTTTTGCGAAGGAATTGTTTTCATAGGATCCTTACTCTCTAAAATAGGCAAGCAAGTCATTCTTCGAAAAGATGGTCGTGGTATACTAGAAAACGAAATATTTTCTTTATATTTCATATCAGGTATTTTATATGATATTCCTCCAGTAGATGCCATACGTCGTATCGAATCACACGATCGAGGAATGTTTGATTCAAGATCTCTCGTTTTAGTTCCTGAATAAGAGTTTTTTATAGGCATTGATTTTGGAATTAATTGATATGCAGGTGAATTGTTGGCCTCCGCTTTTTCCATTATTGGTGGAGATAATTTGATTTTAGAAAGCCGTAAAGAAGGTGTTTCCTCAACAAAAGAAAACATTTTGGATCCTTTAAATGGTACACTAATATTTTTAGAATAATTTTAAAAAAAATATTTTATATACCTAGAATGACGCAGAATTTTAGGCGTATAACAATTTTCTGATCCCGTTTTTAACGTACTAGATAATGAAGATCGACGAGTAGTTTTAAATACAGGAATTAAAGAATATTGCTTTGCTAGATATTTTGGACTTTTCGGGGTTTTTGGAGTCATTATACATGATTTAGTTGATTGAGATGCTTCTGATTCTGAGTCATGAGAAACATACTGAGAATTATCTTCAGCAATTTCAAAAGTAGAATCATCTTTCAAAATTATATTATCGATTTTGATAATATCTTTGTTCAAATTTTTCCATCTTTCATACAAGACATTATAACCCTCAATAACATGACTATCACTTGTTAATTTGTTCCAAATCCCCCATTCCATAAGCGTAATAATCCGTATAATAACTATAATTTATTAAAATACAATTAAAATTTTATTTAAAAAAATACCATAACTGTCCTTTTTTATTTTATATGTTTTATAAAATTCACTCGCCTTTTTTGTTAAAGGAGATAAAACATTAAATTTTTTTATTTCCAATTCTAAAGAATCCATAATTTGGGTAGCCTATAAAAATCATTAATATATATACAATAAAAACATGCACACATAAATTCTAAACTTACCTGTTTATTAACTTGTGAAAAAACAAACAACCATTTGTCTTCCTGAAACCTCTTTTTTACATAAAAAAACTCATCTTGTAATTTATTACACTTAATTTCCAAATTGAGTCTTTTTTGTTCTATATTATGAATAGCACTAGGAAACAATTCCGTCGCCTTCTCCTTGAAATACTCAATTCGAAGTTTAAAGAAAATAAGGGATGTCTCAAGAGGTTTAACTTTCTCGTGAACTTGACAAATAAAATTCTGACAATTCATATTCCATTTATTCAATACATCACTTGAATTTATTTGTTCTAAAATCCCTACTTTCTCCCCATCAAAAACATCCTTAACAAATGATTCTAAGGTGCTGATTTCAACGAATCGATCCGAAACAAAAGGAATATAATTACACCGTTCTTTAATCTCGAAAACAAGCACTTCACACTTTTTAAGTTCTTGATTTATCTGATTCAATATTTCAATACAATCTACCCATTCTTTCGAAATTTCTATCCGGGATTTTATAAAACTTAATAACTTTTTAATAAATATCCAGCCTTGATAAACTTCTTGACATTTTGCATTAAAACTTAAAATATCAAAATTTGACAAATTCAAAAAAGCTGGACTAAATGAATCTTTTATAAACTTATCAAAAACCGGCGAAGAATCACGGATCTCTTGTTCTAGCTCATTAAATAACCCTTTTGCTTGATTTACCCATTCAATATCATCTTCCATATCAAAATACTTAAATATATATATAGCCAACTCAATCCACGACAACATATATACTGACATATCCATAAAAATACAAAAATATTCTTCTCCCGCCTCAATATCTTCTTTTTCAAATAATCTCATTCGAGGGACTGATAACAATGATGTAAGCTGAGATAATTGCTCCTGAAATGTGCTTTTTTGAAGAAAATCAACAAATCCCACTCCCATAAGCTTATTTAAATATGAAAAACCCTCATCAACCCCCTTCTTCTCTTCTATTCCATCAATTTCCTCAAAAACATCTAAAGACTTATCCATATTTTTTAACAGTTTTTGTCTAAAAAATTAACTCAAAAAAAAGAAGATAGAATATTCATAAGAAAAACTAACCAAATAACACTCATACAGTCTTTTAATGTTTATACTCTTTCAATAAGTCAGTTTAACATTTTTTGTTGTCTTGACCGAGGCCGTCTATGGTAGTATCGATCTTGATGCGGTTATCTTAAAAAATAATAAAAAATATTAAAAAATATTAAAAAATAATAAAAAAAATAATAAAATGATTGAAACAGCTCAACAATATTTATTGAGCAGTATTCCTAAGCAAGAATGGAGGAATCAAGTATGGTGTAAGTCAACATTAAGGTGAAGATTTTTGTATTTTTTTTATATTTATTTAAAAATTATTAAAGTTATCCTGTTAATCCACATTTATCCATTGAGTCTATTACGGATATGCTTCTTAAAGCGCCGGGCGTTGTGCAAAAGGTATATTTTTGTGAGATTTTATTGAGGGAAATTAAAGTTAAAGGTTCCTTTTGTTTGGAATTTTATTGATAAACCTGTAGACGGTCAAATTTTCTTAGTATGGCTTTCACCGGAATCAAGCATGCATCCGCCTCCAGATGGGCTTCAGTATATGGATTCAGAAAACTGTTATCGTATTGATATTGGGGGAAATGTATTTTTTATGTAGTTTTATAAGAAATTAATTATTTTAGACGGTAGAAATTTTTGAACATAAATATGGATTTCATCCAGTGACGGAATCACATGCATCTCGTATTAGACGGAGATTTAGACTTGTCAAGGGGGGAAATGATCAATTATGGCTTATTTATTATTTAAGATCTAGCGAAAATGGTATTTTTTTCGATAATATATAAATTCGATATAAATTAAATATATAGATCGTTTACCAGCGAATAGTCAAACAGCTATTCCTCAACCACCACGTACTTATCCTCTTCCTTTTATTCAAAATAAGCCATTTTTATTATATGAAAGTGCTACGCCGCAAGCATCTCGATCTTATAACTCAGTCACATCTAATGTTCCAACAAGACCTATGATGTATTATAATAATATAACATCTACTCAAGGAAATCAGAATTTTCAAAAACCTCAATATACTACTCAATCAGGAGGGGCGTATTCTGCAGCAGCATATAATGCGCAACCAAATATGCCTTTATTTTATGATATAAAAAAAAAGCCAAAAACAAATATATCAGCATCTACGGATCATGGATCATCGAATTTTCAAAATCTTTTATTACATCATTCAAAGACGATATCAGAAGAGGAGGAACCACAAGGAGATGAATTGGATTTTTTAACACCTCGCGATATATCTATAGCACGTTACATGAGACACCATGATTGGATGGAGGAAATATTTAACAATACTTTTAAAATAAGTAAGAACTTTTTAAGAGAAATCAATTTTCTAATTTTGAAGGTAATATTTTGTCATCGCCACTTTTTCCTAAGTCAGAAGATTATACAATTGAAGCTTTAAAAGAAAAATTGTCTAATAATGAAATACAGACCATGAAAGATTTACATGAAAAAAAAATTAATGAAATAAAATTTTCGAATGAAACTATTTGGCTTAACAATGCAATTAATGATCTAAATAATGCACAAAATATGGAAGAAATTGCATTCATAACAAAAACTGTTAAAGAAAAATTGAAAAAAAATGTACAAAAAGTATCGGTGAAAGAAATATATATTAAAGAAACGAATAAGGAATTAGAAAATTCGGAAGTTTTAAAAGTATAAAATTTAGGATCATATTCATACAAATATTACAATTTTTAAAATTATATAATAGTACGTGCTTGACGGGATAATTTTGCTACATCCATTTCTATATTTATTATTAGTTGCATATATTGACACAACATTTATTCCTACCTAACTCTGAAAACCTCTCATTTGCTTCTAGTTGTGCCAAATTTAGGCTTTCAAACATTTTTTTTGTATCTACCTGAACATTTTCAAGATCACTTTTTGTTATAGCACTATCTTGTATTTTTTTCAAATCTTTTTCTATCTTTTCTACTTGTTTCACACGTTTAATAATAGAATCTGTCACATGCTGCAGTTCTTCTATAGACAAAAGAAGTGTATTTGATGCATATTGATATTCATTTATTAAATAATAATATCCTACTGCGCTAGCAAGACTTGTTCCAATAAAAAATCCTAGAAATCCTCCACGAAATGAACTAACTATATTTCTTTAGATAAATCTTATATATTTCTCTCTAATAAAATTTACCTACTATCGAAGGTCGACTCTTATTTATTGATGTATCTGGAGCTTTAATATCTGAATAACATCGTATATTCTTATAAATAAACGAACATTTCTCTCTAATTAAGCCTTTTTCAATGCCAATTAACACTTGATTGACATTAAAAAACCGATTCATCCCTTGCCATCGCATATTAATTTTTAACTATTTTTTCGATTTCTTAAAATAAAATTAACCTTTTTTAATAATAAGACAATTATTCTTAAGCAAGCCTTAATATTCCCTTAAGTCTTTTAAATTAAGCTTATTAATCTTTATTCTTACCATTCAAGGGAATATAATATTATTTTAAATGAAATTACTTAAGAAATGATTAAATTCTAAGTATTTTTAAGTTTTCTTAACGATCTTATTCAAATTAACATTCTAATATTCTAATAATAAAAATAAACAAGGACTATTAAGGGCTTATAAGATAGCATATAATAGGCATAAAATGAAGAAATATCATGAAATAACATAAGTATTTAATATAAATTGAAATTAAGAAGATATAAAAGATTTAGAAAAAAGATTAATAAATGAATGCTAAAGATATGAAAATTCTTAAAAAGAAGAAAAAAATTGAAACACGCAAGCAAAATACTAAAAAATACCAACTATTCAACAAGTTTTTATTAGAATTGATATCAATTTTTATTCCAAAACATAATGGTAAAGTTAAGAATTAGAGATATTTGAGGATAATAAATTATAAGGACTAGATGAGAATGTACGCATTTCATTACCTATGGATTTTAAGTAAGATATTATAAGATTTTTACAATAAATTTAGTTTTGAAGGCATCTTGCTCATGCAAATAATAAAAAAGAAATGATTGCTATTTATGAAAAGTTATCTTTTAATGTATATGATGGTATTTGAGGGGAAATTATAAGATTTATTTTTAAATTTTTATTTTTAGAATCAAAAGAAAATACGAGAATTCAGGTATTGTCTGATTCTGGAAATAAATCAGTACCGGAAAATGTAATGAATCCACCTTTAAAAATGTGTGAAAAACCTTTTATTCATTCGACACCAGAAACTTTTATTATACCATCTGAAAGCACTGTTATTTATCGGAACAATAAGAAAAAAACGTTATATTTAAGAAACATACTATTTCAACAGCCATCATTAAGTACAATTGAAAAGTCAGCGGCTACAAAAATATTTTTTGAAACATATTTTCATAATATTTTTAAAAAGCCAAATCCAAGAGAAGAAAGAAGAAAAAATCTAGAAATCCAATTAAAAAATCCAAAATTATCAGATAGAGAACGCGAAAGTCTTCGTCTTAACTTTAACAGGGAAGAAACAGAATATCTTCGATCTCTTCGCCAGCGAGTAGATGTAACGAGTTTTGTTGTTTTAAAAACTATAGGTCATGGTGCTTTTGGTGTTGTGAAATTAGTAAAAAAAAAGGACAATGGCATGATCTATGCAATGAAAATTCTTAAAAAAGCAGACATGTTGAAAAAAGGTCAAGAAGGGCATGTACGAGCTGAGCGCGATCTACTTGCTATGGCAAGTGATAATGGAAGCTGGACTGTAAAATTATGTTATTCTTTCCAAGATCTTGCACATTTGTAAGTTTTTTTATCCAATTATATTTCTAAATTAAGATATAAGATATTTAGTTATGGAATATATGCCAGGCAAATAATGTTAAATTAATAGATATGTTATTCTTATCTCCTATAGGAGGTGATTTATTAAATTTACTTATCGTCAAAGATATATTTTCTGAAGAATTTGCACGGTTTTATATTGCAGAAATGATTCTTTGCATAGAGGAAATACATAAATTAGGATATATTCATAGAGATATCAAAGTAAAAATTGAATTTTAAAAATGAAAAAAAAAACTAATGATGTTAGCCTGATAATTTTTTATTTGATAGATATGGTCATATTAAAATTTCTGATTTTGGTTTATCGACTGATTTATCATGGTTACATGATTCTGCATACTTTGAACATCAAAGAGTATATCTTCTAAAAAAAAGTGGAATTAATATGGGAAATAGCATTAGTAAAAGAAAAGGTCTTAACATATTAACAATGCTTGAATTGTATGAAGATAGAGACACTAGTGATGCAATTCTTCCATGGAATAATGAAAATCGTCGAGAATTTGCATATAGTCTTGTTGGAACCAACAGTTATATGGCTCCAGAAATTATTAGGGGAGAAGGATATACAAAAAGCTGTGATTGGTGGTCTCTTGGTGTTATTCTTTTTGAGGTTTATCTAAATCATATTTTCTCTAGATATCTCTGATAATTAAAAGTGTCTTTATGGATTTCCTCCATTTGTTTCTAAAACTAAACATGCAACAAGAATGAAAATACTTAATTGGCGTCAAGCTTTACATTTTCCTACTACACCTTCAGTTTCTAAGGAAGCGCAAGATCTAATTAAAAAACTTATATGTGATCATAAAGATCGTTTAGGCTCTAATTTGTGTAGAATTTGTCCTGATTCTTTAAATACAATATCCGAATACTCTACTTCTAAAACATATCATTATTGTTCTGACGCAGATGAAATAAAAATGCATTCATGGTTTCGCAATATAGACTGGAACTCTTTGCATAAACAAATACCCCCATTTATCCCTAAAATTAAAAATTTAGAGGATACAAAATATTTTGAAGAACTTAGTAAAGATGAAGTACTTCAATCTACTCTTGATATAAGTCATGATAAAATAAGAGATTCACTTCTTAGAGACAAGGTAATTATAATTTAATACATAAATATCTATGCTAATTTTGTAGATCTATGGAGAACAAATACTTCAAATTCGCAAAAAACTAGCATTTAAAGTATATATTTAAATATTTCTTTTGCTATTTTGTCTTATTAAAACCAGGGTTATACTTATCGAAGAAAACATATTCCTATAAATACCCAAAGCATAACTTGCAACTAACAAAAGACAATTAAATAACAACAATTGCATATTGCTATTAAATATATCCATTTTATTACAAAGAATATAATCATAATATATATATATAATAAAAGCAATGTTTTAAATAATATATTATTATACTATTTTATAAAATAAAAATTCACATATTATCTAAGTAATTGTTGCTAATAATTCTTTGCTAAAAATAGTTTTGTTTATACTTCCAAATCATATTTCTAAAATTCCTATGTGTTTCTGGAAGAAAAATAGTAGATGCAGCTAAAGAAATAAATATTGGAGTCATAAATCGTATCGAAAATGAACCTAAAAACAATCAAAATCTACTTAAATATAATAATTAAAAATATATACGTCTTTGTGTTAAAATTAATCCTGCCATTCCTGCAATCATTACATATATTCCTCCTGATATAATTTCTCCATTTGAAGGTACAAGTTCCTTAGCAAACTTTTCTACCTTATTTTCAATCCCAATCCATTTATCTACTATATTTTCGATTCTCATTGACACATCTTTAACATTTTTTTCAAGTTGATTTCTACTTTGACTGATTTTTAATTGCAAAGTTGATGGTGGTATTTTAATTAATGTTACTTCATTTTCTTCTTTATTATATATAGGAAGCTAAAACAAAAATTAAACGAACCCTTATATATTTAAACCAATATCCACTTTTTTATCTTCAAGAATTGACATTGTTATTTAAATAATTAAATTTTCTAAAAATTACTATTAAAAATTCTTGACCTTGACCTCTAGATACTTGTATTCAAAAATATAGGGTTTAATATCGTTAACTATTTTTAGAGACAAAATATCTTAAAACAGAATAGCTATTTACTGTTTTCATATTTAGTTACAATTCTATTTTTAGAAATATTTCCTTATTTATATTATTCTAACTAAAAATAAAATACAAATAAAAATATATATCTAAATGATTCCTATTTTAACTTTTATTAATATATTTTTTATTTTTACGTTTTTTATAAATAAAATTATTAATTATTATTTTTGTACATCATTAATTAGAATATATAATAAATATATAAATTATCACAACCTCATGCAACTAATTTCTCTTTTTGAAAATAATTTCTAGATTTTGATATCTTGGTTAATTATATAATTCGATTATGCCTAATTCTGTTTTTAATTAAAGTTGATAAAATTAAGTCTTTAATTTTGAGTAATAGGATGATTATTTTTAAAAAAGAAAGCGCAGATTAGCATTACTTTTCACAAACTATTTTTAAATCTTATTATATATTTTTCTAAACTAGATCTGTAAAATTGGGATTTTGTGGCTGGTTCATGATAATTAATCACTAAAAAAAATTAAGCCATATATTAATATTTTTATAACAAAGAGGCATATAATATCTTTAAAATTAATGATCTTTTCTAAAAGTCTTAAAAATATTTATATTAATTTGAAAAATCCAGAAATATTTAAGGATCCAACATAAAATTCATGATTCTACGTCTTTAAAGTATTTATTAATAGTACTCTGGATTTATAAGACATAATAGATTATTGGATCATTCAATATTAGAAGTCTATAGGCATTATATTTCTCTTAAATATTAATTTTATATTTTGGAGATCTAATTGTATTACTATTTATTACTATTTATTACTATTTATTACTATTTATTATGAGATTACTATATGGTTTATTTGCTCGTCGAAGTGGACTACACTTATGCATAATCATGGTATTTTTTATAAGTTATATTTCATCAATGCCTATTATGAGTTATTCTAATATATATTTGACCAGTACACATCTAACACCAAGATTTTTAGGGGTATGAATATATTAATATAATATGTATATAGTTTATAATTTTTATAGCTTCCTTCGTTTGGATTTGTATTCTATATCATTGATTACATAAGGGAACTTCTTAGGTATTTAAGAGGTAGTAGTAAACATGACGAAAATATTAAACCTTTTAATACAACGAAAATTGATGTTCTTACTCCTATTACTGATCGAAAACCTCTTGATTTTTTTAAACCTGTGAATAGTACACTTTCTCCATTATCTATTAAAGATGAAGATCTTAAAAAACCTATTCAGACAAATAAATTTTATTCTAATCTTTATCTGGGCAATCAACGTTTTCCCTCATTTTTAGATCCCTATGTTCTTACATGGACTTATGGAGACTATAGCGGAATAGCTGTTGCTCATTCAGATGATAATCAGAAGGTTTTAAAAGACTTTGCGTTTTGTTGATTGTAAAACACTAATTATTTTTAAGGTATTTGAAGGAGGCAACCCTCCTAAATATTTCTTTAACCCTCTTGGTGTTTATTCAGCAGTTTTTAGTGCTGAAGAATTAAAAAATGCAAATTTTACATTAACTTCTCTTGATCAGATGTCTGTTAATGTAATTATAAAACCCAACAATTCTAAAGGAGGAAATTTAGAAATGCCTTTAGTTAGAGGAATGGCTTATGTAACCGGAATTTATACGGGTTTGACACCTGTTTTTACATCAGTCGTTGGATTTCGATCTATTGAAAAAGAGAAAAAAGATGATTATTATAAGTTTAAAGCAACTTTGCATGATGAAAAAAAATGGCTTTTATATGTTTTTCCGAAAGAAATGTCTGAATTTGATTTTATAATAAACGGAACGACGTTAAAGGCAACTAAAGGAACATTCAATGGATATATACAGGTTTCAAAAATACCAGTCGATAATGACGGGGCAGAAGGGATTATTGATGCTTCTGCTGGTACATATGCAACAAAGATTATATTGTCGGCATCAGTTTCAGGCAATATGGGCAATTATTCTTTTACGTTTCAAACGAATGATTACAAAAACAGATCATTACTTCATTTTGCTATGCCTCATCACATTGCTTCATTTGATAACGATACGACTTCTAGAAAAACTAATTTCTCTCTTCCAAGTCCAACTAATGGATTAATGACTGCTTATACCGGGAAGTTTTGGAATATGGTGGAAAATGATTTACCTACAAATATTAGCTTTTCTCCATATTCGCCATCAGGCAAAGAACCTTCATATTCAGAGGAAGCTAAAGAAGCGATTAAGAAGGCTGCACAAGAAGAAGTTGCTCAAAACTTTTGCTCGCAATTGGACCCGAACAGTTATTATTTTTCTGGAAAGGCACTTTCAAAATTCGCATTATTATGTTATTCTATTAAAACTGTTCTTAATAATGATACCCTTTTTAAAGAATGCTCAAAAAAGCTTAAAGATTGTCTTGCGCCATTTGTAAAAAATAATTACACATATAAATTGGTTTATGATCAAACATGGCGTGGAATTGTTACAGAACGAGGATTTATAAAAGAACCTTTTTCGGATTTTGGTGCGACTTTTTATAATGATCATCATTTTGTAAGCTTTAATAGAACTTTGAGGATTTTACTAATTTTTTTAAAGCATTATGGATATCTTATATTCGCAGCAGCAATTATGGGATATCTTGATAGCGAATGGATCAAAGAAAATAAAGATTGGTGTATTGATTTAATGCGAGATGTTGCAAATCCAGTCGATGATGCTTATTTTCCGGCTTTCCGTTATTTTGATTGGTTTACAGGCCACTCTTGGTCTAAAGGACTATATGAGTCAGGAGATGGCAAAGATGAAGAATCATCGTCAGAAGATTATAATTTTTACTTTGCGGCTAAACTACTTGGTCATTCAATTAATGATACCGTTATGATATCTAGATCAAGTTTAATGTTAGCTATTTTGAAGCGATCATTACTTAGTTACTTCCTATACGAACCCACGAATACTATAATGCCTAAGTCATTTATTCCTAATTATGTTGCTGGAATCAAATTTATGAATAAAGTATGTCAATTATAGCTTTATATTTTATTAATATTTGATCTAGATAGATCATTCTACATATTTTTCTCCAAGATTAGAATGCATTCAAGGAATACATATGCTTCCATTAACGTATGTTTTTTTAAATATCTAATTTTTCTAATTTTTATGTTTAGATCCATAAGTCCTTATATTCGAATACCATCATTTGTTAAAAGTGAATGGGAAAATAAATTACAATCAATAGTTGGAGGTATTCCAGATGGATGGAAAGGTATTCTTTATGCAAATCTCGCTATTTCTGACCCGAAAACATCATTTAATTTCTTTTCAAAGAATTTTGATAAAAAGTTTCTTGATATGGGCTCTTCTTTGACATGGTATCTTGTATTTTCATCTGCTTTTCTAAATTCGGCATAATTCATTTTCATTGTTTATAATCTAAAAATTATAACAACTATGTATATACTGTATAATTCATAGCATGTAATTGTAATCATATATTTTATATATCTATAATATACCAAATCATAGTCATTATTTATTAAACATGTTTTTTTTTTTTTTCAATTTATATTTTATCTATTAGGTATAGGAGCTTATCTTATTAAGGTTTTTAAGAATTATTTATCATTAATGTTTATATGGCTTATAAATAGATATTTTTTCAAAACCAATATATTCGACGTTCTCCAAATTTATAAATCTTTGAAGAGAATAACATAAGCACAATATATGTACAACATTACTCTATAAAGTTAAAAAATTAGCAAAACATATAATTTTTTTGTTTATTTTAAATATATAATATATTCCTTAGCATATTTTTAATATTTATGATGAAAAGTATAAATTTTTATTTAAAAACTTATAATTAAAATATTTATCAAGTATAAAAAATTTCATTAATCACATAATTCATTTTTTACAATGATTGAAATAAAAAAAACTAGTAAATATTCCTTTTTTCATTTATTTTTGGATATAAAATCTTACAAAAAATAAATATAAAAATATTAATTTTTAAACAATAATAGCTCATATTTAAAAAATACTATAAAATCTTAACTTAAATAACATCAATTCACATACTAAAATCATAATTTGTAATAGTTTTCAAATCATTTTTAATATTTTTTATTTTATATTTTATTTATACATATAATTCTATTCAAATTCGCCATTCTTTTTAAATAAAACACAATAAATTATTTTTTAATAAATTTTTATAAACGTTCTTATGTTCTACTTTTTTTCTAAAAATATAAAGAATTATAAAAAACCTTAGTAAATAATTTCAGATCGTTTTTAAAAAAGTACTTCAATATTTAAAATATTTTAATATCCTAAATATAAAATATTTTATACAGATTATTTCTTCTTAACTAAGTCTAAGTAGTATTAGAATGTCTTTAGAATCATCTAAAAGGCCTCAACCTATAGATGAAGAGACAAATTGTGAATTATCGACTAAACGTCAGGCTATATTAGATAAAATAGAATCATCAGATGAAACACAGATTGTAACACTTAGAGGAATTATTTCAGGACGGGAAGCTACAGCAATTATTGAGGAAAACGGGGAAAATATAAGGCTTTTGCAAGAAAAAACAGGATCTCAAATACATTTGAGTGAAAATGTTCTTGGATCAATTGAAAGGATTTTAACATGTACTGGAACAGCGAAATCAGTTGCCAAGGCATTTTCACTTATTATTCGTCTCTTACACAATGAAGATTTAGATACAATTTCAAGTCCGGATGATAAACCTCACAGAATTCGTCTTGCAATTCCTCATGTTCTTATAGAACATATTATTGGAAAACATTCTTCTAATATTAATGAAATTCAAAAGATTTCAGGTGCACGCATGAGTGCATCAGATACTCTTCTTCCTTTAAGCACTGAAAGGACATTGGTTATATATGGCATAGCAAGTGCTATATATACAGTTATTTTTCATGTTGCTATAGCTGTTTTTCAACAAGCAGATCGCATGGTAAATCTTCAAACATGTATGTATAATCCACTAAGTATGCATGGTGGCTATGGTTATCCTATGACGTTTCAGAGAGTTTTGCCTAATGATACAATGTTAACACCAGCCAATCCATATGGGGTTCCTCCAAATATTTCTATGCAGCAAAATTATCAATCATCTAATTATATGCCTGCTGATCCTCAAGCTATAGCTGCATATAATATTCAACAACAAAACCAAGTAAATTCCCATAATACTCAACAAGGGCAAACACAGCAATTACCTCAACAGTTACAACAGCCACAATCACAGCAATCACAGCAATCACAACAATCGCAGTCACAACAATCACAGTCACAACAATCACAGCCAGCACCTGGTCAACCAATCACTCAACAAATATTTATTCCAAACGACATGGTATTATTTTTTTTTAGTATATTAGAAATTTTTGTTAATTTTCATTATTTACAGGTTGGTGCAGTAATTGGCAAAGGAGGAACAAAAATCAATGAAATTCGTCAGCTTTCTGGTTCCCATATAAAAATTAATGAACCTGCGGACAATTCAGCAGAAAGACTAGTAACTATAACAGGAACACCAGAATGTAATCAGATGGCATTGTATATGCTTTATTCTCGTCTGGAAAATGAGAAGGTGAAAAGTTAATATCAAAATAGCCATTTTAATATTTGAATATAGCATCGTATTTAAATGTACATAAAAAAAATATAGTTTATATATTAATTTTTTTATTTACATCTCTTTTCAATAAGCGAAGCACGATCACCTTCTTCGTCATATTCTTTCTTAGATATCCATCTATAAAATTACTATTAGAATACATTAATTTTAATAAACTAAAAAAATACAATTGATGAAATGTTCCTAAACTAGCCAAAATACTTCCTCCTAACCATGAAGCATATTTTCGTTCTACAGTATTTCCTGAGGCATTAATTTTAATTCGACTCCCTGGTGCTATACCAAATTAAAAACTTTCGATATCGTTATTCTTACCTAAAAGTTGAAGTTCTGTTAAAATACGATCTCCAAACCCTTGTATCAAAGACGTCCCTCCTGTTATAATAATATTTCCTAGCAGTGTCGCTCGAATATCTGTATCGCATGCCATTGCACTATTATAAAGCAATTGAGCTAAAGAGATAGAATTTTCTGGTGGTATTATTTCTGGAGATTCCTATATATTTTTTAAAAAGAGGAATTGAACAACTAAGTCTTACTGTAGCTAAGAATGAAGGATTAAATAAAACTTCAGGTACTTTATATCGATCAATATCAATTAAAAGATTATAGCCATCTGGAAATTCAAAAGCTTTTGCTGGTCGAGATGATGGTATTCTAAAAAGATTAAATATTTGAAAAAAAAAAAAATATTACGATTCGCTTAATGATTTTTCAAAAACCTGGCAAATACTTTCTTTAAATTCTTGCATAACACGATCCTGTTGAAAAACATGAAAACTCTCACAAATATTTGAAAATTTACGCAATTCAGCACGGGAAGGCGCCTCTATATCCACAGGAACCTTTTTTTTAACCATATAATGAGGAACAATAGGGATATTAGCTCTAGAAAAATAAGCACGAGCTTGGGCAGATAGATAATTTCCAGCAATATTTTGTTTCATAACACCTAATGTATATATATATACTTAGCCCATCAATATATATCAATATATTTTACCTCTTTTTAAAACAAGACCGTCATAAATAGGTGTAACAGATGCTACCTGGGCACCAACATCAAGAATCAATGCTGTAGATTTGCCATTAGCAAATGATGCACATACTGCATTTTTTGCAAGATAAAATGCAGGTGATCCAAACTTTTCAAATACAATTTCCATAGTTTTTTCTCGATTTTTAGGAGGGTTCCAACTTGGCTCAGTTACGAGTAACGGATGCTCGGTTGGATCAACTCGTAAGCTTGTCTTTATTGCATATAACCATATTTTTGATACAATATCCCAATCATGTACAATCCCATCTAACATAGGATTTTTGATTTCCATTCCAGCTCTAGGTGCATGTATAGAATTATCTCCAAATACTATTTCTGAATTGTTATTTTCTACCAAAAGACCATAACTGCTTTCTATAACGCATTTTGGAGTATCTTCACCAGCATAACCTGCACGAGTATGTTGAGATCCTGGATCTAAGACAATTGCAGAAATTTCATCTCCTCCATATATTTGAGTTGTCATTTTTTTAATAGATTTTAAAAATTAAATTTTAAATCTTTGATTTATATAAAAACAAACAAGAATAAATAAACTTTTTCTTAACAAAAAATAGTTAAAAATCTTGTAGAATTAAGTTAATAAAGTTTAATAATTTTATAAAATTTTTGTTATAAAAATACAGTAACGTAATATAAAAATTATATAAAATTAAGAGTTTCTTAAGAAATATAATCATATATTATAAACATTAGTGAATTGATTCACAAAATATAATTATTGCTTTTGAAATAGTTTTAAATATAAATTAAAAAAAGAAAACATTTATTATAAAAAAGTACAGAAACAATTAAAAATGTATATATTATATACTTATAATTTCTTGAAAATATATTTCATATTCATTTTTCTGCTATTTAAACTAATTTCTAAAATTTTGTTTAAATATTTAGGTTTTAATAGAAGTCATATTAAATAAACATTTCTGTGATTAAAATTCTTATAACTTTATTTATTAAAATGTGAAATTAACTTATATTTTTCAGATTTATTCCTTACTAAATATTTCTAACTAATTTTCATAAAATTTCTAACATGAAAGATTGTTTAACAAAATTATTTATATTAATTTATTTTAAGCAAATTATATAATTTATTAACTTTATCATATTTTACAGATTAGATATCTAATATAAATATTATAATTTCTATTATTTATGCTTATTAAAGTAGTTCGTTTTTACTTAATACATTTATAAAAATCATATTTTTTAAAACAGCCTATTTAAAAATTTACTAAATCTTTAATAATATATTTTTGTATATATATCCTATTTTCGGCATTACTATAAATATTTTCATATTTAGTCATAAATAGTTGTATGTAACGGAGTTCTTTCTCTCATTAATTCCTTTAAAATAATTAGAAACTTATCCTTCCGTAGCATATCTGCAGTAATAATAGACAACATATTTTCTGAAAAAGATGAGTTTTTGCGTGTTTTACTTTTTATATCTTTCGTTTTTAGAAAAAGGTCTGTTTTCAGCCTTTTGAGTTCAAATTCTAGATTATTTGTTTCATTCATGCTTTGCTGAATCAAAGAATTAATTTTTCCCAAAGCCTTTTTAATTGATTCTAAGGAAGGTAATTTAATATTACCATTGGTCTTTCCAGCAAGCTTTGCTTTATATAATGCGAAGCTCTCTTCTGCTTTCCATAAATAATTCTCAACAGTCTACATATTATTAATATATATTTCTTAAAATAACAAATTAATACTTGACATATTTTTCGTAATTTTATTTGATTTTCAAGATGTTCTGATCCTAGTTGCCGAACCTTAATCATTCGTGTAAATTCATGATCTGTTCTTGCTCTAATAAATCTAGATACTTCTATATGTTTTGCTTCTACTAATAATATATAAGCTCTAGTGAATAATCTTCTAAAAATAATATACTGACGTTTAATGAAGGTTTTTTTAAGAGATTTTATGATATCAAGATTTGTATCTTCTATTTTTTGGAAATTCGAAATATTGTTTAATAAATCAAATATTATTTTTCCCATTTGTGGAATTTCTTCTAACTTCCATTCTTCAATATGCCTCCTGAATATATCAACAGAATCATTCTCTACACTATTATCTTCTTTTTGATCTTCTATAAATAGACTTAGACTTTCAAGATTTTTTTGAATCTACAATTTTATATAAATCTATACAGAACTTTAAAACTATTATACTTACAATGTTTAGTTCATTATCCATCTGTTTACATATTATATCAATTTCCTTAAAAAGGCCCTAATTTAATTAATAACCATTCTTTTCTAAAAAAATATTTACCTTTTCTTTGCTTTGAGCTTTCAATGCTTCACTCATAGAAAGCAATGGTTTCAGTTTCATCATATATTGATTTTTAAATAATGGAGACCGTTTAATTGTATCATTATGAGTTTCGTCAGCAATATCCTTCAATGGAGCTTTGATTTGAGAAAGATCAAAAGAAAAAATTTCATCATTTTTAGATTCCAAAGTATCCGAATTATTAGAAAAAAATATAGAAGATGAATCGGGTAATGCTTTGGAATTTTGTAATTTTGAATGATTATATACTATTTGTTCTGGCTTATCTTTAAGATTTTTATGTAAATTATAATTATCATTTGCGAAATCAATACTTCTATTTTGATTCAATACTGAAAGAGATAGAGTATCAGGTTTTTCTTTAACATTTTCGTGTAAATTCTCTGTAATTTTGGAAATATCTTGAGATTGTAAATTCCTATTAATATCATAAATAGTAGATTCGTTTGAAGATATATTAAAACTATCTTTCGAAACATTTCCTTTCGAAGACGATAGATGTTCAGGGAAAAGATCTGATGAAAAAGGCTATTTTTTATTATTTTTAAGAAAATTAAAATCATGGTCAAATACTTCATTTTTATTATTTTGATTAAATTCGTTTTCCTCATGACTTTTATCTTTAGTGACATCATTACGAGATATATTATCCGAAAGAACAGGTAAATCTATACCACTAGAAGAAGTCTGATGAGTTTTGCAGATTTCATTTATGTTTTCTGGTAACTTGTCAATTTTATCAAAAAAATTAAATAAAATACCATTTTTATCTTTAAAAAAGAAACTTGTAGCTATTTTTTCCTAAAAATAAGTCAGACAACTTATGTAATTCAATAGTAAAACTTACTTTTGTTTCAATTTTATCATTAATTTTAGGTTGAAAAACATCAGAATAGCTAGAAAAAGATACAGAAGTACCTAAGTTCCCTGTTTCTCTTTTTATCTGATTCTCTTGATCAACAAAAGAAGAACTGGAAAGAGTTTTTTCCTGTACAGTTAAAGACGATAGAGTAGGAATTTTAGAATCTGAAAAAAAAGAATGCTCTTTTCCAAAAGAAGCAAAAGGAGACGATATTTTTGAAGAAAGACTAAAAGTATCAAGTGATTGAGACTGACTATTCATAAAAGCATTCTTTTCATTATTATCAAAGCATTTATCAATTTCTCCATAGGAATTATCATGTATTTCAGGCTCTTTATTCGAAATACAATCTATCTTATCCTCTAAAATACTTTCATTTTTCATTTCTAATGCATCTTCGATTTCGTCTTCATCTCGAAACCTTGATGAATCTGCAAATGAAAATAAAGGTGTTGATTTACTAAAAATAGATTCCATCTTATTTTCAGGTGTTTCTGATGAATTCTGGACCAACTTTCCAAAAGGCGACTCATTATCAGATTTAATCGAAGATGTAAAAAATGTTGGCTTAATAGTTTGTGATACATTATTAAAAAAACTTTTCCCGAATGCTGCATTCTGGATACCTGAAAAATTAGATTGTTGATATTTATATGTCATAATAAAACCTGTATTTCCAGAAGAGCCAAACAGAGGATTTCCAAAAGCAGGTGCACCAAAAGCAGGTGCACCAAAAGAAACGCCAAATGAAACAGGGTTATTAACCATTGGCCTAATTGTCTGTGAATTTAGTGTATTTTCAAGCATAGGTTTTGAGTTTAAAACAGGCAAACTTGGTACAGGCGCAGACTTAAAACCAAAACCAAATTCTTTTGCAGTTTCAACTGCATTTTGATTAGAACCTAAATAATGTAAATATTCAGAATAAAATAAAATAAATTGATACATATATCAGAAGTATTTTCTTTAGAGCAAATAGAATCATATGTTTTGCATGCTTTTATTGCATCTACATAAAGAACATAGTATCCAGTTAAAAGATAATCATTATTAAGAAGATAAAGAATAGGGAGAGGGGGGCCTTCCTTCGGTTCTTCGCTTGGAAATAACGGTTTTTGAACATTTTGAGATGAAGTGAAATCAAGTGCAATACCAATAGGAGAAGTATCACGATCGTTTAAAATAGAATATGGTAAAGAAACTCTACGAGTTTCGTTAGATATAGTCAATGTTCTCCATACTAAATCATCTTTATTGCGAACGACTATACCAATATCTGCACTCGCTGTTGCAGCAACAATAATAAAGCTTTTTAGGTTAGGTTCCCTAAAATTAATTAAAAAGTTTTAATAATAGTATTAACAAACCAGTTTTTAAGATATCTAATAAAGTGATGATCAATTCTACTAGTTAAACCGAAAGGTGGACTAGGATCTACAAGTTTCCCATAAGTAATAATTCCATTTTGTTCTCTAGTAATTATAAAAATTACATAGTCATGTCTCAAATCTTCTGTAGATCCATGATCATTATAAACTACAAAAAAAACATGATTTTCTAGCCATAAAATAGAGCTTACTATTGTCTTTAATACTATAATACTTAAATTTTAAAAAATTACCATAATATGCATCATTCAATGATTTCGGCTTATTAATAACTGCCTTTAATGATCCATCTGGGGTATATTGAGCCAGTTTCCCTTCTGATGTTCCACAGACTATTTGTTTACCTTTTTGAGACCATGAAACTTCTTATATTAAACAAATTTCATACGTCATAAATATGCTTACATGAAGTTACATTATTTACCAACGGTTCTGAAATACTTCTTTGAGAGAAATTAATCAAATGAAGATTGCCAAAAAAAGTCAATACTGCAATCATATTGCTATTTATTGGATTAGGAAGAACATCCTTAATATTTTCAACTTGAAATATAAATTCTGGTTTAAGAGAATTATCCTAAATTGTTTAAAATATATTTACAATAATTATAAACAAATACCTTTTGAAACAATTTTTGTGTACAGTAAAACATAATTTCATTTTCCTCAGTGACTACAATCAAATATTCTTCATCAGCACAAAAAGAAAGATTTATAATTTTTTTTTGCAAATGTATTATTGATAATGGATTATGTTCTGCTATCTTTTTGACGATATTGCCTTTTAAACTTTCCCTTAAAGATTTAGTTGTTCCAAACGCAAATCCTATAAAAATCAGTCGTAGCCTTTTAATCTATAAACTTTCATAAACCTGAAGGTATTCCTACAGCATAATAACCATTTTTATTCCCAATACATAATAAAGATGCATTATATCTAGGTGTTTGATCTGTAAAAATTTTTTCAATTTGTATATAAGCATTATGCTGTAAAGATAAAAAACCAAAGTTCTAAAAATGAATTTAGAGATAATATTCAAGACATTTTAACTAACATCCGTATCAAGTTCTTCTAATTCAACGTACATTTCATTGGAAGGTTGCGAAATTGAAGTATTAAGAAAAGAAAATGAATTTAACATGATAAACTTGAAAATTAAGTAAAATTTTTATAAACTACTTAAAATTGTTTTAAAATATTGTTTTTATAATTCGCAACATGACCGTAAATAAAAATAAAATATTAAAATGATTTAATTTTTTTATAGTTTTTTTTAAACAATTTATAAAAACTTCGTGATTCAAATTTCATTTATATTAATAATATTAAATTTAATATAATTATTCCTTAAATATTAATTTCTAAAGAAATAACATAGACGTTTTATAAAACTAAATATTCTCAATATTATAAATTAAGTTTAGTAAAAAAATATTATTACTTTTACAAAGCTAAATTATTAGTACGCAGTTTTAGAAATTATAGTTCTATACTAATATAAAAAAATAACAGCTTAATATTTTTTATATTAAAAAATGAGATATGTGTCTTAATATAAAACCATTTCAGTAAAAATTACAAATAAAAAATTATAATTACAAAATTACACTATAACAATTAAATTATATATATATATATGCATTATATGTCAATAAAAATTTTTATCTATTTATTTAAACAAAATTAATATTGAACTTTGTATATTATAATACACTTAAATTACTTTGGTTCTCGAAAAAAGTCTAATTATAAAAATGTAGGGTTATTTTTCTAACTAAAAGTTCTAGAAATATATTTCATAAATACATTACATATATAGATATAAGTGTACACATTGAATATATTGATATAGACATTAAGTATATATATATAATTTATTATAATATATTGTTTATTTGTTGGGATATTTTTATATAAAGAATAATATCACTTTTTACATTGATAGTAATTTGATTTCAAGTGTCTGATTTTCATTAATTTTAGAAAAAAATAGTAAGCATATTTAATTAAGATTCCAAAATATTAAATTAGTTGGTATTAATAAAACCCGTTTATATTTACATTTTATAAATTTAGGGAAATAGTTATATACACCAAAAATGCATTAATATAAGTTATTTAAAGTTATACTAATATAAACAGTCTAAAGCTATATTAATATAAACGATCTAAAGCTAATAAAATATTGTGCTAATTTAAAAAGCTATTTTTTAAAAAATTTAATCGATGAAAATCGAAAGTTGGGTAAATTCTCCCCATAGTGTAAAATAAAAAATTTATATAATTATATTTAATGTTCATCAACACATAAGAAATTTAAAACAATGAAGAATATTATATTTCTAACTTTTGTAGGATTTATATTAGATTTTTTTAAATCTATTAATACAATTTATGCTGCACCAAATTATATTTCCGGTAACAGAAATTCTATCTATTTTATTATTTATCATTAAATATTCTAGATAAAGATGGGAATAAAAATATTAAATTAAACAGTAAGTTTTAGCTATTTTGTGATTACTGAATTATTCATATATATCCAGATCACATTAATGATGCTGGCCTTTCATTTGAATCAAACGATAATCTGAATTATGAAAAAAAGAATACCCTAAATCCTTTAGGGCTAGAGCTTAAGGATACTTGTAAAAATATTGCTTTCGAGACTAAGAGCGGTATATTCCATTATTTGTATTTATTTATTAATAATTATAGAAATTACTAAAAAATGCGTGTTGGATAAATTAAAAGAAACACGTTGTTCTGATGCTAATATAATTTGTTTATGTGATTCCAAGGCTTCGCACAAAGTAATTCATGATTGTTCGCAATATCCACAATACGATATTACGTTTGATATTTCTTTTAATAAGCTCTGTTTTTCGGCTATTATAGATCCTGATTGTAGTTCTCTAACTAATCCATCTTTTCCTACAGTTATATGTAAAGACCCTTTCGAAGAAACTGAACTTAATGGTATATAAGCTTATTTGTGATTTTTTCTTAATTTAATATTAATTAGAAGATGCAAAAGAATGTATCGAAAGAGCAGTTAAACATTCTATGTGCAAAAATGTTAATGATGCATCGTGTTTATGTGATTCCAGGTCTTTTAATTATGAAGTTTCTGTATGTATTAAAGATGTTTCATTTGGAGAAAAAGTCGGTTCTTTTTTGAATACTTTATGTAATACACCAGCCTTACTTCCTGGATGTTCTCATCCTCTACAACAACCACTTCAAACAATAGAAAGTGAAAAGAATAACGGTAAAAGACTTTATAAAATTAAAATGAAGGAAACAATGTTTTTGATATTTGGAATAATTATACCCATCATCTTATAACTTCTGGAAATATAAAAAGATATAACTTGATTATTAAAAGGTATATTCGATATTTATAAAATTTCTGATATGAATAAATATTTTACCTTTTGCGGATTAATTCATGACTATTTTATAATGAATTTAATTTTTTATAATGTTAAATAATGCTAATTTTATAACTAGTATATAAAATACTTTTTAATTTGTATGTAAATTTGAAATCTACATTTAATTAATTTCTGTGAATTAAAGAAATACATGTTTTACAATCTTTATGAGTTCTTCCAATACATACCAATATATTTTGTTCTAGAAATTATTTATCATGCAAAATAAAAAAAAGATAAAGTTTGTATAGGAACTAGATAAAATATAAAATATTTTAGTAATTAAACTATACAGAATGCTTATATTTTTTACTAAAAATAACATCTAAAGAATAAACAAAATTAATATTCACTATTCATATTTAATATTTAATATTTCTAAGAACCTAATTAATTTTTAAAAACTCAAAAAAAAATCTTTTTAAATATTATTTTATTATAAAGTAAATTATTTTTGTAAAAGATTATTCATATTAAAGATTATCAAAGAAATTAGTAAAAAATTATAATAAATAAAAAAATTAAGATATGAAGTTAGAAATTTACAAATGAACTGAAAATATATAAATTATAAAAAATATCAAAATAGAAAAAAAGATCGGATTAACAAAGTTTATAAGACAAATATACATAGCGCAACTAAATTAGATAAAAATATTATTAAAAAAATTAGAAAAACATAAAATTATAACAAAATAAAAAAAAAAATAATACACCAATATTAAAAAACATTAATTATTGAAAACATTTCTAAACAGGAACATGTAATCAAGAGCTCTTTAAATTATATTAAAATAATCTTTATATAAAAATTTGTATTTATCAAAAAAACTAAAAATCTACTAGAAAATATTAAAAATAATAAAAACAAAAAATCAACACTACTTACATATTATTTATTTACCATTTCTATTCGAAATTTATAAGCTTTAATTTCGAAAACTTTTGAATTGGAATTTTCAAATCTTGATATCAATAGCGAAAATGATTATCATTATTATTTATAAAAAAAAGTATCCACATTTATATTTTTTATAAATGTATTGTTATTTATTTCAAAATACTATTTTAAATCATCTTTATTTTTTTCTATTTAAAATTTAAATTTTATTAGCTTATAAAGGATTAGAAAATTTCAAGATTGATAGGTACACAAAATCTAAAAAAAATCACATAACAAAAAAGAATTTAATAGTTTGAGTTTCAACTTTTATATAGTATTCTTTTTCAAAAGTACAATTAATAATTCATTACTTTCATTATACATAAGAATTCTCTATTAAAATATACAACTTGCTATAGTAATTAGTTGTTTTTATTGAATTATGCTAAAAAACACTTAATCATTATCTAAAATTACAATATCGAACTACACATAATTTCGCTATTTACAAATATCTAAATTTTTGAAATGATTAAATATTTCATTTCTAAATTTTACCTTAAAATTTATTTGAAAAATATGTTAGAAATTTTTGTAATGTCAATACTAAAAGGAACAGTTTTAGGCTCTTTTAAAAAATCATTAAATATTATATAATTAATTTTTTATCTTTTAAAAATTTAAAACATTTATATTCCGATTTCATCAAAATCATATTTTAAATAACTATTTTAATCTTTTTACGTTAAATGTGCTTAATTATTTAAACTTTTAAGAAATCAATAATATATTCTGCACAATATATTTAATTATCTGTATTAATTTTGCTATATATTAATTTTTATTTTCCCAGTTTGTAAAAATAGCGATTATATTTTTTTAGAATTGTTAAATTAATTAAAGATTTTTACTTTAAATAAATATAAAAATAAAAAAAATAGCCTGGTTTCTTCGGGTATTCTATTTATATCAAGTTTATGTTGTATTATTTTATATTTTTTTCATTCGTTACGTTATTTTTAGAAGCAGAATCATATGAAACACAGGATAATAAAACGAACCACCATTTATATTCAAGAAATCAGGAAAATATAAAAGTTCTTTCTACGGAATTTAAGAAACCAGATAATGATTATTCTTCGTATCGGCTTATTGAGATATCTAATAACCTTCAAGTTTTATTAATTAATGATCCACAAAGTAAACTATCTGCAGCTTCAATGAGCATAGGTATCGGACATTATAGTGATCCTGTAATTTTATGGGAAAAAGATATGTTTTCTTATATATTTTAGGATGATATCCCTGGTCTTGCTCATCTTTGTGAACATATGCTATTTATGGGAACAAAAAAAGTAAGTAAAATATATATGTGGTATTTATATTTAAATCCATAGTACCCTAAAGAAGATGACTTTTCTTCTTATATAAAAGCTCATTCTGGTCAATTTAATGCGCTTACTTCATCAGAAGAAACAAATTATTTCTTTCATATTGCACCTGATTATTTCGAAGAAGCATTGGATAGATTTTCACAATTTTTTATTGTACCACTGTTTCCAAGAACAGCTGTTTATCAAGAAATACATGCAATTAATTCTGGTCTTTTATTTTTTTAATAAAACTTTTTTAGACTTACAAATTCTAGAATTTAAAAAAAATCAGCAAAATGAGGAATGGAATATACTACAGCTTGAAAAATCTCTTTCAAATGAAAAATCTCCTTATCATAAATTTGGTACAGGAAATTATCAAACATTAATGGATAATCCAAAAAAAAATGGCAAAGACATTTTAGAGGAAGTTAAAAATTTTTATTTAAAATACTATTCTGCAAATTTAATGAAACTTGTTGTAATTTCAAAAGGTTCTTAGTTCATTTTTATTTTAAAATATCATTCCTTACTATATATTAGAATCTCTTGACGAGCTCCAGGGATTAATTATTAAATATTTCTCTCAAATTCCTGATAAAGGAATTCAGAGACCTCAGTTTATGGAAAAGCCATTTACAGATAAACATCTTGGTGTAAAATTTTCTTATTTCATGATTATAGAATTTATATTTATTAGATGCAATGTTGGTATAAATCGGCAAAAGACTCTATAAAAATGACACTTACGTTTCCTATTGAATTTCAAACGATTTTATATAAGAGCAATTCTTTTGCGTATCTTAGATATTTACTAGGTTATATTTTACAGTTTTTAATATTTTATTCTAAACAGTACGCTAGAACATCAAGCTTCTAATTCTCTTTATGATTTTTTATCAAAAAAAGGCTGGATATTTTCTATTAAGTAAATATTTATTGGAATTTTAGATTATATTTAATTTTTCTGTTAGTATTGATATCGAATATATAGTTTCAAATGTAAATTTTTTTAGGATAATTTTAGTTCTTACCTCTAAAGGATTAGGTATTATTTTCCTTTTCCTAAAGGAAACAACTTATTCTTTTAGATGAATATGAGGACTTAATAGTTTCAATATTTCAGTATCTGGATTTTCTTAGAAGTTGTTTTGTTTTAATTTGAATTATAATATTAAAAAATCGTAGATATAGGGCCTCAGGAATGGATTTTCAATGAATTGAAGCAGCTGGATGATATGTTTTTTCGATTTTCGGATTATACAACATCATTTCGACGTGCTTCAATTTTATCAAATGTTATGCAAAAAACGTATTTAAATTATTCAGATTTATTGAAATATAGTTTTCTTTCTGAATACAATTCACAGCATATCATAGATTTACTAGATTTATTGTGCCAAAATAATTACTTACTTTCTATTTCCTCTAAAACGAAACCTGGTGATTGGAATGCAAAAGAATTTTGGTATGGATCAGAGTATAAATTTGAATCTTTACCGAAAACACTTGTACGGGTATTTTAGCAAACTAAAACTGCCTTATTTTTAATAATAATAGAAAACAAATAATTTGGTAACTAATGGCTTATTTAAGTTACCTAATTCAAACAAATATATCTCAGAAGAATTTTTTATAAAACCTCCTTCTGAGAACGTAAATTCTATAATTTATTAATTAAATTATTTAATTCTATTTAGAGAGTAGACAAGCTTCATCTTGCGTATAGTACAGATGTTCTTCGTTACTGGTATAAAGATGATATGCATTCTAATCCTAAAACATACTTATTTTTATTTTTTAAATTGTATTAATGAAAACAATGCTTTGAACATTACTTACAGTATTTTAGACCAGGATATTCTGACACACCTTTACAACAAACACAATTAAAGTATGTTTTTAAATTTTATATAAATTATATCATAATTCCTAGGGTTTATATAAATATGTTGTTTAATAGTATTGTTGAAATAGTCTATTATGCGGATATTGCGGGATATCAGATTAGTATACTGCCTCATAAATCAGGATTTCAGCTATCTATATATGGGTTTAATGGTAAAATGCTTGAATTGCTTGAAGATATCTTAGATGCTTTTTTAAATTTCCAACCTACCCTTTCTAAATATAATTTTTTTAAGGAACGTCTAAAATCAGACATTGATATTGATTCTATCGAACCTGCTAAACAAATAAAGTCTGTTATTTCTTCGTATACTGAAACTTACTGGCCTTATAGTGAAATATTAAATGCACTAGAGTGTATTTTACCTTGGAAATGTAATTTTTTACTAACTTTGAATATAGTACTCACCTTTGCTGATATTGAAATGTTTCATAAAGTGCGTTTTTTTCAAGTTTCTGTAGACGCATTAGCAGTTGGAGTACT